AAACAAAGGGAATGTTTGATTTATTTCTAAACCATTAACAGTTGAGGCTTAGGTCTTGTCAGGTTTCAGTGGAGAGTGACCAGATCAATACCCTCTAGAGCAGTTCTTGTCAAACTGTAAAGTGCACACAAACCAGCTGGGAGAGTGTTACCTGATTCTTGTTCAGAAGGTCTGGAGAGAGGCTGCAATGATTCATCCCTAACAGTGCTCAGGTTGGTGGCCCAAAGACCACATTCGACAAGTGAGGCATTAGATTTAGACAATGGGGTCTGTGAGACCAAGGACACTGTCTTGTTTCCCATTTTATCCCCAGTCTTGGCATGATGCCTGGCACAAAGTGAGTTCTCAATAAATATTTGCTGAATTGAATTAATGGGAGACACTGGCTACAAGGACAAATTTTATAGCTTAATTTTCTGTTAGGCTGAGCTCATAGCCAAAAACAAATGGATAAGTACCCACCATAATTAAACATGTGTTTAACTAGTACTTTGGAGTTTCCTAAGCACTTTAATTAATGATAGCTTATTTGATTTTTACTCTTAACAATAATCCTCTGGAGAGGAGCTGTCATTATCTTTCAGTTACAGGTGATAAAAGCAAAGTCAAAGAGGGCAAGTCACTGGCCTAAGGAAGGCTAGCAGCAGGTACACTGCAGTGTGGGTCTTCTGAGTGCCAGTTTTTTTCTGCTGTACTTTGCAGAAATAATAAAAGCTTGACCAAAAGCAGATTATGTGACTTTTAGTATCATACAGCTGGAGGCTAATGATGTGCCTCTTCCTGGTTAATTGCCACACAGTTGGCATAGAAGAGCTAATATATTAAAATGTTAAATGTATGTGTGTGATGATGAGATTTGTCAAAAAAGAATTCACAAGCTCTCTTTGGGCTGCTTGACCAAACTGCCTGTGCCTGAAGGCTCTTTTCTTTCCCTTCAGAAGGGGTTGCTTCTATGCTTATCTTCTATTAGGACCAGAGATTTCCTCCCCAGGGTAACCAATCCACACACCTCAAATCTGCAGGGGCAGGGCAGCTGGCAACCAAATCCAGACTGCCTGGCTACAGAGTGATCCTGTCAGATCACCACGTCTCCCATGGTTGCTTTTAGGCTTGCCCTAAAAGAAGGAGGGCAGCAGGGGGATGGGAGTTCTTCACCTGAACTCAGACTGCAGTGTGTCTAGCATAGCACACAGGCCCTGGTGTGCTATGGGATGTGAGATGCACTCATATCTTCCTTCTCTTGCTAATCCTTGATTTAGAAACATCCTTAATAAAGTCTATTCTAAGACCCAAGCCTTGCGATGCTGTGGAGTTCTCATCTGGACTATTGTTATGGTAGATGGCAGTCTTTAAGGGACCTCCCTTAATCCACCTTGTATGATGGAGGGGCTTCAGCCCTTGTTTTACAAGCTATATCTCAGCTTTCTCTTCTCTTTGCCACACTTACCTCATCGCTGTAAACATTTTATTTATTTATTTATTTATTTATTTATTTATTTATTTATTTATTTATTTGAGAGACACACAGAGCGCATGTGCACACACAGGCAGCAGGAGTGGCAGAAGAAGGAAACTCTCTAGCAGACTCTATGCTGAGCACAGAGCCCGAGGTGGGGCTCCATCTTGTGACCCTGAGATCATGATCTGAGCCAAACCAAGAGGAGGGTGCTTACTCAACTGAGTCACACTGGTGCCTCAGGATAAACTTTTCATCTATGGCCTCTTTTGCAAAGCAGACCACTGTGCTGGGTACATAATAGATAAAATAACAGGAAGGCACCGAGCCAGGTTTTTATTTTTATAACCCTGTCCTAACCTCTCTCTTAAGCATCTGTGTAGGCATATTTCAGCCCGGGCTCTGCAGATCCACTGAGGAACCTCACTGAAGCTTCCCACAGGGGAGCCTGCAGGCGGTGTGCAGGCTTCCAGGACTCTTAGGGGAGACAGAAATCAGGAGAGAGCTGGTAGTCCTGTCAGAAATGTTCTTTGTGTTTCAAGGAAGAAATTCTAACCAAAAAAGGGGGAAGTCCTGAGGGGCAATATGGCAGCATTTGTGGTCTGCAACATAAGAATTTACCCTAAAGACACCTGAGCAAGAACTGTTTACATATACATTATAAACTGGGTGTGTGTGGGGGGGGAGAGGGTGTATAGTGTATATGCATGTTTATAATCTACCTTGGGCAATAGAAAATAGTTCCACTTAGGGAGACACCATGATGATTAAAGTCAGGGCTTAAGGCCTTGGGTTTAAGATCTAGCTGTGCCATTTACTTCTTTTCTGTACCTCTTGATCCCCTTTACCCATTTCACCCAGCTCCCCCCACCTGCTGGCAACCATGATATGTAGCTGTATCTGTGAGTTCAGGTTTTTTTAGATTCTACATATAAGTGAGATCATAAAGTATTTGCCTTTTTCTGTCTGACTTATTTTACTCAGCATAATGCTCTCAGGTTCCATCCATGTAGTCATGAATATCAGAAGTTTCTTCTTTTCTAAGGCTGAATAATATTCCTGTGTGTCTGTGTGTGTGTCTGTGTGTATAAAATACATGAATAAATAAAACATGGCATATATATATTCATCATTTGATGGACACTTAAGTTGTTTTCATGTCTTGGCTATTTTAAGTAATGCTCTAGTGAACTTGGGGGTACAGATATCTTTTTGAGTTAGTGCTTTCAATTCCTTTGAATAAATACTCAGAAGTGGAATTGCTGGATCATAGAGTAGTTCTATTTTTAATTTTTTGAGGATCCTCCATACTGTTTTCCAGAGCTGCTACACCAGCTTGCATTCCCACCCACAACGCACCCGGGTTCCCTTTTCTCCGCCTCCTCACCAACATTTTCCTATGAGAGGTGATATCTCACTTTCTTGAGACCTGTGGCAATATATTTGATTCTCTAAGCCTGTTCATCTAGAAAAAGAAGCAAAGAGTTTCACTTTGTATGTTGTTAAGGAGGTGAACTAATGCAGATAAAGGCTAGCATGGTCCTGGCACATAGCATCAGTAGTCACTAAATGTTAGCTCTTGAAATGGAATCTATACTAGAATCTCTTTCATTCTACTACTTGATGTTACACTTCATTCTGCTTTTCTGCCATTTTGTTTCCAGATTAGAGCAGTTACTTCAAGCTCCCTGGAGAATTAGAGGCATTGCTTTGATAGAGTATGTCACTGTGGCTCAAAGTTTCCTAGATAGAACTGTGGTCCTAGATGACACTTTTTTTTTCCCGTCCCTCTTTTCTTCTGTTTCTCATCTCTGACCCCCACACTTCACCCACTCTGATCCCCTCCTGATATTTCTTCAGTTTGGATCTGGCTCCATCTGCTTACAGATCAAGATAATTTATGGCCATAGAGTTTGATTGCTGGGTTTTGTTTCCCCACTGCTGACTTTCTATAAGCCCAACCTATTCATGTGACCTTCTCAGATGAAGCTCATGCCTCTGATGGGTCTTTAAAATGTTGGGTAGTATCCTACATATCAAAATGTCTGTGTCCCTGTATGTACTTCTGCCGGAGGCTACGACATGAAGAAATCAGGTTGCATTTATCTGCGTTGTGGGTAGACAGTCTACTTATGTCTGTCTCTTGGTCTCTCTCAGGCACCTAACATCTCAGTTTCCCTATACTGTCCCAGATTCATGCTGTTGTCCTAAAGAAATTATTAACAGTATCCTACTTTCCTCTCAAAAGTATCTTGAGCTTGGGAAGATATATTATAAGGTCATCCTACCTTTTGAGATAGGTATATATTTAAATTTTGTTTCAAGTAGAAAAGATGATGGGTTATCAGGCAAAAAATGTTTTTTCAGTATTATAATAAGTGTGATAAAGCAAGTCAAATGAAAGTCATAATTTTAAAAAATGGTATTTCAAAGAGTTTTTTTTCTGTAGTGCAAACTGGAATGTGTTTTTATCATAGCAAGTAGTGTTTTGGAAAACTTGGAAGAGGCTTGCTACATAATTTACATTTTAAATGGTCAACCCTTGTTCAGTGGAATAAGGATAAGCAAGCTAAGAATGATCAAGGGGAAAACACATCACACATTTTTTTATGCTTTTGAAACCTTCTCCTCTTCTTTTTCTCACTTCACTTCATGTAACTGAGTAGAACGCATCTTTTACAAAGAAGTGTGAACAAGAAGTCTAATAATACTCAGAATTAGAAGGAGCTGGCAGTTTGTTCATCCTAAAATTGTACAGCCATATTAAGATACAACAGAGAGAAATTATGCAAGGAGCTGGGAGGGAAGACTCCCAGCTTTGTAACCATCAACTATCTCTACCTGAGCAGAAGAGACGTGAGTGGGTGTAAGTGCCACATACTATCAAACCATGTCAGTGATGGGGCCTGTGGTGGATAGAGAGAGACAACACGCACGTGGCTAACAAGGCCTGTGCTGAGTTATGGAGTGCTGTCTGCACACACGGCTGCTGCAGCTGCGGTGGAGCTCAGGGCTCCCAAGACAGGCCGGTTCGCAGGTTCACACATTCTCACCCATAGAGGAATCTATATTCCTGTCATTCCTCATGATACACATTGTGAGTTAATCAACTTCTTCCCTCCTCGGTGCTGTGGAAGGGCACAGGGCTATAATAGATGCAATGCAAAGTGCTGCCACCTGGTATGCAGCTGAAACAGAAAGTAGCACAATCCCAGAGGAGCTAGAATGGACGAGGAAACAAAAGGCAGCTTACGGCTGCCTTTATCAGGTGTCTGGCAGTAGACAAACCGGGCTTTATGGGAAGTTACAAAGAAGAAGCTGGATCTTATTCTTTCATTAGAGCACTATCAGGCCTCAAGATTAAATAAAATAAGTCTCTCAGACATGACACACTCTAATCTACACCTGGTTACTCTGAGCGATGGCGTGATTTACATGCAGCTCCAGCTTGTCTTTGACATGCTACCCACTCACATATTTGCATATTCCGAAGCTATACAAGCACAAAAATATTAAAATGAAATTCACTATACGTTACAGTAGAATGACATGTAATTTATTCATATAACTGACAGGCAGTACTCAGACTTCATTTAAATAAGTGATTACACAAATGTCTAATAATACTAAAATTGATAGTCAGAAGGTATAAAATACCATGGGTATGAAATGCCATGGTAAATACTATTCAACAGACTACAATCATAATTCCAAACTAAATCATGGTTTTTGAAATGATCTTTAGCAGTTTTGGAATGATTTGATTTTTTTTCCCCTTCCAAGCAATTTACTTTTTTCACTGATACAAGGCAAGGTCATTATTTTCAAGAACTATTACAGAAGGACACATTTTAGGTCCCTCTCTTGCAACACATTTTCTTGAAAATTGTTTTTTAATATAACCTCTTGACATTGAAAACAAACCAAGCACAGGTGCTTGGATCAGAACAGTGCCATGGCGTAACTCTGAGTTCAGCAAGAGGCAGGCAGTGAAAATCCTTTTGCAGCTTTTGAAGTATGCATACTTCTTTTCTGAGGCTCCAAGCATCATAAACATATTTAGGCGTCCAAGCCAGTAAAATTATGGGAATAAAATAATCTGGTATTCATATGACTATGACACAGTTGCAACTGGGGGAAGTTACAATATAATTCTGCCACACTTCAAACAAAGACAGCACCTACCTAAATTTGCTTCTTGTCAGCCTCATTATATTTTCACGAAGCGCAGCTGTGTTTGCAGGAATGGTTTGGCTTATCATGTGTCTGTCTGTCTGTATTACTTGAAAGTCATATACTTTATGGAATGAGTATACTTTTAGTGGAATGAAATTCAAGCGTGAACCTGGCCCGAAGAGCTAGCAACAGTGGTCATGAAACATATCAATAAATTAAAAGGCTTTCACAGAACAAGATTCAGCTAAATCTCTTACATACAAAATACAGCTAGAGAAATACAATTCTTCAGTGCTGAATTATGAGGGGGAGGAAAACAATCTAAAAAAATAGAAAACTCTCTCCATACCTGGGTGTCAAGGCAAATGTAACACTGCATAATGCCACAATATGAACAGTCACTGGATGACAGGTACTCCAGAAATAGTGGTATCTGAGGGTCTGGTAATTATGACCAAGAGATGAAAATACTGTACCAAAAGGCATGCATACAATCATTGTGCATTCAGTGTGTGAGCTGGGACCTAAGCAGGGATCTAACACGACAATGAGGCAGTGTTCTGGGGGTATCCGTTAAAACCAGCATGGGTGACTACATGTTGATTAGACCTTCTGAGGCAGCAAAGTGTGGACACAATGCCATGTCTGGGTTCTGCAGCTGTTTTATGATCCTCTTGCGGAATTTCTCCCGCACACGATTAAATTCCATTATGTCCATGGGGTCCTCTTCAATCCAAAACTTATGGAACTCATGCATCAAATAGCCTGTTATAAATAAGACAGTGATAAGAATGCAGGAGAAAAAAAGAAGTCCTTAATCACATTCAGAATCACTGAATGCTGAAAGAGGGGTTGGACCAAATGACAGCAACCATGGAGCTCAAAGAAGAGATCACGATGCAGCAGGTATTACTAGTAAAGATTATTCTTTAAAACTAGTGCAGTAGAAGCTACGAATCTGCAATATTTTTGCAATTGGTCCTGGAATTATTCTCATTCTTCCTAAGGATGAAGATAAATCAATTGTGCCATCTCTTGAACATGAATCACATCTGGAATAGAATCCTAAAGGCCAACAGTCACTACTTCATCCTTCCCCCCTGATTAAATTAACATAATGGTCTGACTTTTCAAAATTACTCCACTCACCTTTTTTTCTCTTGATATTTGATTTGAGTAAAGTTTTAAATTACTCTGACAAATCAAACAAATGTGTTCTGACAGTCGATTATGAGACAATAAAAATTGTAAATCAACTCTGAACACAGACTGGTCATTAAACTACATGAATTGTTAATAAGACCATCTTGCTCTGAAGCATGATGTCATATTGAAATACTCTTGTGTCTCAAAAATGTTATCACTGAATGATCTGGATTGGAAACATTTTTGGAATAAATGTTAAGTATTTGAATTTATTCACTGTGTTCTGTTTCCCCCACTGTGCACCCTCTCCCCACCAGATTCAGAATTGAAGTGTGAATAGCTTTTTAAAAAGACAGTAATAGATATTTGTATGTAGTAAACCTATTACAAGCTCAAGTGTCTCATTATGTATTAGAAAAAAGCATTTAAGGCTTTCCTTAAAGTATTAAAGCATTAAAACATTCCTAGTTAAAAAAACCAAATGTTATAGAAGCTTTTCTTAGTTTTAGCATTAGAGGGAGCAGAATATATTCTGGAGCCAGAAACCTGGTTTGAATCCTAGCTCTTCCACCTCCACAGGAAGCAGTGAGCAGCGGAAATGAGAGGGGGCATGGGAAGAGAATTTGGGAACAAGTATTCTCACTGCTAATAGTAAAAAAAAAAATTGTTTTTCTATTAAGTAGCTACTTACAAGAAAACCTTTAACATAGGTCCATAAACAGATTTTTAAAAATCTTTACCATATCTCACTGTAATACAAAATTAGAAGTGACCTTCTTTCCCACCCCCAACACACTTCCAGATATTGATCCACTTCCACAAACACACTAGTTTCTCGTCTGTTAAATATGCTTATACATCTTTATGTATATGGTCTCTCTACCGATACAGGAAGAAAGGTAGTAAGGAGAGAGAAAACTTATTTTATTTTTTTGGGATTTGACCATTGCATTTCTTTTACAATTGGATTATCTTTGGGCCCTCCACACATATTAACTGATGTGACAGTTTTTAGTATCTCTCGATGGGGACACATCAACCTCACTCAAATACCTCTGGGCCATGGCCACTCTTATTATGGAACCTGATCTCATCAGGGAAGTTCCAGATCACAGGTATCAGTCATCCCAGGGGCTGTCCTATCCATCTCTGTTTGCTCTGGTGCTTGGATTCCTGGAGGAAGCATCTGGCCTTGAGCTCTTCTGATGACAACATTGACATTAGCCTGTCTCATGCATGAAGAACCTTATTTTTAAAGAGTTTTTCCTCATATAGGGCCAAAGTCCGCTAACCTGTATTTCTTGGAACAGATTCAGTCCTTCTCCAACTCAAGTAATTGAAGTGTCTTTTATGCCCTGAGCTGCTCTTTTTTCTGGGTTAAGCATCCCTATTTTTCCTCACCATTTCTCACAGTCTGTTTTCTATTCTGGTTGTTTTAGTGCATACCAAGAGGAAGTTGTTTCCTCTGATCTCAGTATCTTATTCAACCAAAAGAATTCAATCATCTGTCCATTTCAGTGACTGAGAAAACTCCTAAAGTACCCTGCCGATGGTATGGGATACTCTTTAGACGTGCAGACCTCCCAGATCAACTATAGTTCAGTAAGATGAATCTCAGGGCACTAAAATATGAGATCCAGTGCTCTAAAAGATGCCCTCTTCTTAAGTTCCCTTGGCTTTTTTCTAAATATTATATTTTTTATGGTTTTAAGTGAAATCTATGATCATTTATACTTTCTTCTTCCTGTACTATATAAAATACATAATTTTTCTGACTTGGCCTCTGAGCTCAAATAAACACACCTGAGCTGTTTTGTATCTAGCGTCAGGCTTCTAATACTATGAATTAAAATCATACATGATGAGTTAAAAGCATCTCATGAGTGATAAGGTCTTTACCCTTATTGACAGTACTAAGAAGGTACTGTGAAAATTACCTTCTAATGAAGAATTCACTTTTATCATGATAATACAAAATATTCACCTTTCTACAGTGTGCTGGTATACTGGCAACTCATTCTAATGGTGATCTAGTAGAGTACAGAGTGTTAGAAGAATGCAGACCCATTTGGTTTCCCCATTTTTCTACCCTACATGCAATTACAGAAATACATTTTGAAAAGTTTAAAAGATAGGCAAGGATAAGACTAGAGGTTGGGTGGTTAACAATCAGACACTATTCTCAGGATCCTTCCTCTTAAGTCTACAAAAGTGAAGCTGTAAAGCTTATAGACTCTATCCCATCAGGAAAATAGAGATTGAATAACATGATTTTAATCAAATTGCAGAAATGGTGGTTTGACTTTCAGGGTACATAATTATACAACTCCACTCATTTTTACATTACAGAGTGTTCATATATCCACTTGGTCAATTGGTCAGTTGGTTCATCTGCCAATTAACAAATATGCAACAGATACAAGAAAAAAGTAGAGTTTCTGTGCTCCCTACTTCTCTGTCTCCTGGAGAGAGATACCCTGGTAGACAATTCCAGCTGATGATTCATTAGGTAAGGAAGCTAACAAAATGGTGTGGCAAGTAGAGGGAGGAAACAGAGGTCAGGCTATTGCTTACAGTCTCTTAATGAATTCTTAACAACAGCTTTGTGGAGTGGGTAGTGCAGATATAACTTTATTTAACAGATGACAACACTGGGCTTAGACAACATATTTAAATGGTGTACAATTACACAGTATAGCTGGAAATTGGAAGTGAGAACCTGAAATCATCTGACTTTCTACTACTGTACCTTTCCCAGTGGCTTCTCTTCCTCTGGTTCTTATTCTTACTGAATAGTCCCTTCATCTGAAGGTCAAAAGAAAGATAATTATTTTTTCATCTTCTGGTCATTGTACTTTCCTGTGCTCACTGCACCTAGCCTTACTTCATTTCATTGGAGCTTTAGATTGAATGCAATTTTTGTAGCATACTGCCTTGGCAGTGCAGTATTCACTGAATAATACTATAAAGTCAGAATGATAGAGACATTATTTTCTTATATTTTTTCACCTAGATGAAAATACCTGTTTAGAATACTAATTTAGTTTTCCAAGCCAAGTCTGTAGTGTATTTGTTGTTGCTTGAATGTATCTTGGTTTTGCTTCACTGCATTCAGTTAGTAGACAGCAGAGACATAAGCAAGGACACAGGTAATTGCAAGAATATTACAGAGGAAACGTGCAGAACTGATCGTGTCTGATGGAGGAACAATGAATTCAGGGCATGCTTTGATTCCTCTGGAGAGGAATGAGTCCCTATGTGTACATCCCGATTCATAAGGGGATTGCTGTTCTTTCTAAAAACTGGTGAGGGCCTTGGGAAATAAGTATCCCTATTGCATGCTACTCACCTGGGCTAGGGTTCTCTTGAAAGCCTATCAGTTCAGGCCAATGCTAAATTTTTCAGGAGAAACAAGACTGCCTTTCTTCCACAAAAGACATTATCTAATATTTTAGCTTCCCTCCCTCCCTCTTTCTTTCCTTCCTTCCCTCCATTCCTTTCTTCCTTCCATCTACTCACCCACTCACCCATCCAACAAATGTTTCCTGAGTACTTACTCTGTACAAGGCTCTATGTTGATGATACAGTAGTGATCACAAACAACAAAATGCCTGTCTCTAAGTGTCAGTTCATACGATTCTAATTTTGATTTTCTCCTGCCAGAGCTCCCCCACTGGGCGGCTTTTATTTTCTCCTCAATGCTCATGAATCCCAAATCTGTCCTTGTAATTCCTCATTTTCCATTATTAACAAGTCATAAAGTATATGTATTCTTAAATTTGCTCATTTTAATCTAAGTTACACATGCACATAGTTTAGAGTCATATAGTTTAACAAGTCTTGTTCCAGAAAACAGGCAAAAAACCAGCAGCACCTTCTGCCTTAATTACTGCTTCCCTTAATGGACATTTCAGCTCGTGCTGATTCTTTTAATTATTGACCCCATAGTTCTTTATAACATGATTGCCATTGCTTGATTTTTTGGACTTCCTGTGTAATAAGATGAAGATTTAGTTCCCTTTCACCCATTCCAACCACATTATCATGTATTTTCTAACAATTTTCTTTGTGTAGTATTACCAGCTTCCCTCTTTTTATTTACTTAGTTTTCACCCAGTTAACTCTAAACTATGCCATTGTCTTCACAGTGTGTTCAAACATGGTAGACATTCTATCAATTTCATATTCTTCAACTCTGCCAGAGCCTTCTAACCTGCTAAAATCTAGATTCATTATTCTCATCCTGCTGCACAGATACCACCTTGGGCTTTCCCTTCATCTTCATCCTTGAATATTCTCACTTGGTTCATATGATAGATTTCCTGCTCTGTGGACCCCATTTATTCCTTTCAGGATTACTCTCTTTGTGAAAGCATACACTTTAGGAGCTTCCTGTTAAAGGTACAAGGAGGTAAAATGTTTAAGACCTTGCATTTTAAAAACGTCTTTATTGTACACTCACACTTAATTGGGAAGTTAGCCTGCATATAGAAATCTAAACTAAAATCATATGCCCTTAGATTTAAAAAAAATATTCTCAAGTTTTTGAAGACATTATTCTACTGTCATCTAGAATTCAATGTTGCTGTTGAGAATTCCAGTGTCATCTTTTTTTTTTTTAATTCTTTTTTCCAGTGCCATCTTGATTCCCAATTCTTCATGTGGCAACTATGGAAATTTTTAGAACCATCTCTTTCTGTTATCATAAAATTTTACAATCATATGGACCTTGGTGTGTATCTATTTTAATTTATTATGCTGGTTCTTTCCTGTTTGTTTATTTTTTAAATTTTTAAATTTTTTTGGTTCTTACTAGTTTATATATGAAAAGTCATCCTTTATAGTTACTGGAAATTTTTCTTATTTTTTTTATTTCCTCTTTTTAATGTTATTGGTCTTTTTCCAATATTCTTTTTCTGGAAATTCCATTATTCATATATAAGAAGACTTCTAAAATGGTCCTTTAATATCTTGACTTTTATTTTCTATTTTTCATTTATGAAACAAATTTTTCATTTGTTCTACTTTCTGGGAGTGTTTCCAGTTTTATCTTCAAATTCTTTTTGGTGATTTCATTTACACTATCTGATTTTTAATTTCTAAGAGCACTCTTTTGTCTTCTGGATGTGTGTTCTGTAGCCTCTTGTTCTTGTTTCAAAATTAAAATTTCTTAATTCCTTGGGGATACTAGTGATACATATTTTTGAAGTTTTCCTCCCCTGCATAGTTTCTGTTTCCTTCTAGTGGTTTTATTTCTGCTTGTTTTGGACTCTCTCCTTGCTTGAGGCTTTCATCACTATTCTTGTTATCTAGTGCTGCTTATGAAATTATTCCAAAATCTAGTGGCTTTTAATACACTCATGAATTCAGTGGATTAGGACTTCAGAAAGGGCCTAGGAGGGATGGTTCCACACATCTGGAGTCTCAACTGGGAAGACCTGAAGGTGGGGTGACTTGATAGCTGGTGGCATGAATCATTTGGAGGTCTGTGGTGGACACTGGCTACCAGTTTGGACCTCATCTGGAACTGTCTGTGAGATCACCTAGGTATGGCCACTCCATCTGTCCTAGACTTCCTCACAACATGTAGAGATCAGAACTGTTACACGATGGCTCATGCCTTCATGCCTCTCAGCTCAGTCTCTGAGAACCAGGTAAAACCCTTGTCTCACATAGTCTTGGAAGTCACATAGTGTCAATTCTGCTATACTCTACTGGCCAAACAACTGGTCAGCCTAGATTCAAAGGGTAAGAGGAACAAACAAACCCTCTCTTACTGAATGGGAGGAGTGTCAAAGAATCTGAGGACATGTTTTGAACACTAAGACAGCTGATAATCCTTGGCTGTCTGAATATTTTTTACAAAATAAAAAGCCAGAGACTAAAAGCTTATTGGAAGCCCTGAGCATATAGGTAGGGCTTCTTGAATGTGAGCATGACTGTAGATTGATAATAGCTGGGTTGTTTCACTGAGGAGACCCAGGGGTCAGCATCTCGTAACCTCCTTTCTGTTGGGCTGCTCTGATAACCCAGAGAAGTTCCCATCAATCTTGTGACTGGCTGCCAAAGTTAGAGGAATGGGGGAGGAGAAGCCACCTGCATGATTCAGTCCTCATTAGCATTTTCAGTATGGTTTGCCAGCAGCTGTACCTGCTGCTCATCAGACCACAGACCCTTTGTTTTCTCCTCTTTGGAGAATAATCTACCACACTCTCCTGGGGCGGGGGGCAAGGGAAGGACAGAAGCTGTGTCCTAGGGAAGGGGATTTGGGCCTCTAAGAGTTTCTTAACATACTTTCAAGCAATCTTGCTGTTTTTGATCCTGCCTTCACCCCTATTTTCAGCACACCAAAATACTGCCAACTCCTGAACCTTTTGGGAGGTTCTGTGGAAATACATCAGATTGCTTCTTACCTTTCCACACTACCTATTTGGTATTTGCTTTCTCAGGGTTACTGAATCAGTTATCATTTCATCTGTTTTCCAGCTTCCAAAATGAGGTTTTTCCTGCCTCATTCTTGATTTTTCCTGTTATTATAAGGATTTATGCTTCCTTGGAAAAATTCTTTTACATTAACTTTAGTGAAGTCTCAAAAGGGAACATGATACATCCATCAATTATGCCATCTCTAACCAGAAGTCCTGATTAAGCAGATACTAAAAATGACAAAAAGATAACATAAGCACTACTAATTTAGGATTTTAGGTGAAATAAATTGCTGTTAACTCTGTCACATTGTAAAAATGAACTGGGCACCAATAGTCCCCTGCAGTGTATTTGGGATGAACAGCTGATCTGCTCAGCAAATTAACAGAAGAGCTGAAAGAAATATTATAGAGAAGGAAAATTTTGAAATTTTCTTGCTAAGAAAGCCTAAGTATAAGGCTCTCAAAGCAGTAAGCATGGTTTAAATGACATTTCTCCTTTAAATTGCCCAGTTTGCTTAGTGACTTGGAATATCTTTCCATGTTTCTCCAAACCAGTCTGTGTGGCCTGCAAGGTCACCATGACATTCAGATTTTAGGATTCTGTCTCTAAGAATGTAAAGTACCACCTCTGGGCTCTGTCATAAAGTCTTGTTCTTTATCTTCTGAAACCTCAGTATAGCTGCAACTCCAAGGATACTGTGCATTAATACTAACTTCTGAATCACTACTTGTGGTGGCAGGAAAAGCAGTGCCAGTGCTAGCTCCACCACTATCAGTTTCACTCACTAAACCAAGATCTCCTCTTTCTCATGTTCATTAGGCACTAACTATGGAACTAGCTAATAAAAACTCTTTATCCATTATCTCACTTTATCTTCTTATCAACTCTACGAGGAAATACTCCTTTTATACCTGACATAACCAAGGCTTAGAGAGGTTGGGAAACATAGATTTGGGAGTCAACACAGGCTGTCTTCTGAACCTGCACTCTTAAGTGCTATGCCGTGCAGGATCAGAAGGAGAGAGATACCCAGACCAGAAGTTGATATGGTGGATATTATGCAAGAGCTGAGAAAGAGAAAAATCCATGATGCTTGAAAATATTACTGTAGAGTTTTGAATGAGAAAACAACAAACTCAAAACCAAAGGGGAAGTTCAAAGATCCCAAAGCAGCCAAATAGCAAAGATCTCTCAGCTTTGCTTCTGGCGTAGAATGTTCCATAGACACTATATTGATAATTCAGCAGCAGGACACTTACAAAATGTTTGCTGGAAATGAGACAGTGTTGGAGCTTCTGGGGCGATGTTGTAGAAGTGAGTTTTTAGGGCTCCACTCACCAGTAGATTATATGCCAAATCAGTTATATTGATGCCCACGATTGCAAATGAGTACCTGTAAAGTGCAAACCACAAAACCAACTATGTGTCACACAAGCACTTAAAAATAATCTAATTTTTAAATTACTGTTAAATTATCAAAGAGGCAGGTTGACATTCTGTTTCTACCCAATCTCTACCCTGAATTTGCAACTTTGAAAATGCCAGTAATGTAACCAAGAGAATTAAGAATCCATATGCTTTGATTTGGTAATTCTGTTTTCAAATATACAAGAGGAAAATATCAGAAATGAAGAGCTTTATACTCAAGGATACTCATTATAGCATTATTTATAATGGCAAAGACATGGAAACTATGCAGATATTCTAAAAAAAAAGATGAATGGTGAAATAAATTATAGTAATCTCATATAATATAGCCAATAAATACCATATTCCTAAAGGCTATTTAAGTAGGAAACATTATATATGAAACAAGCCAGGTTTTATTATATGTTCACAAATGTGCACAAAAAGAGGGCAAGAATGAAGTGCCACCAAATATTACTGTTCTATGTTAGAGGAATAAGATTGAGGTGATTTCTTTTTTGCTTGCTTTCTTGTATTTTCTATATTTTCCATAATTAGCCATATATTACTTTTAAAATGAGGCAAAATTTAATTATCTTAACACTCGGTATATTTCTTATTTCCTTTTCTATATGGCTATCAAAAGTTAAATGGAATCGAGCTCTTTCAGTCTCTGGGTTATATAAATCTAGCACATAAAAGAAAGGAGTTCTCCATTCAGAAATAGTTTTGAATGAAATAGGGCATTAAAATAAAACCTCTAAAGTAAATTTATAATTTAATAACCTGATACTTGATAAAAATTCTTAAAACTACTAGGTAAATTATTTTTTTTTTAAAAAAGTAGGTTCCACACCCAGCATGGAACACAGTACAGCACCTGAACTCATGACCTTGAGATCAACACCTGAGCTGAGGGACACTTGGGTGGCTCAGCGGTTGAGCATCTGCCTTCAGCTCAAGGTGTGATCCGGGGTCTAAGGATCAAGTCCCAGATTGGGCTACCTGAGAGGAGTCTGTTTCTCCCTCTGCCTGTGTCTCTCCTCTCACTCTGTGTCTCTCATGAATAAATAAATAAAATCTTAAAAAAACAAACAAACAAAGCCTGAGCTGAGATCAAGAGTCTAGTGCTTAACACAACTGAGCCACCCTACCTATGGAATACAATGATAAATGATGATTTCTGAAAATCATTTTCATATAGTTATATCTTTGTAAATATTGTCAGTGGTCAAAAGCGAAGTAGTACCATAGAATCATACAAATGAATCCAAAAACTTATAAACAGCTTCTTTTAAAAGTTCAGCTGGATTATATATTTCCATCAGGGCATTCTTCATCTTTGTCGTGTTTTAGGACATTTTTATTCTGGTTCTGGTTCTTACAACCTTTATATATGAAATCCCACACTCACCCAATTGCTTTATCCATCCTTTTCTTCTCCCATTCTGCTTTGCTGAATTTGCTGAATGAATAAAGAAATAAGATTTAATCTCTAATTGGTACTTGTTCTCTTTTAATGTTTATATTCAAACTTTTGACTACATGCAGAGATATCTGTAACTCAGTTCTCAAACACTAATCAACTTAAATGTTACCAACTAAAAATCCACAGTAAAATTTATGTGGAGCTCAGAAATGGGATTATTTAAAGACCTGCTACTTATTCCGTATTCCCTTTAGTGCTGCAGTGGGAGACAGTCCTTAAGGTGAAACACTAATGTACTTTTTTAATGGGATCATTGATTATCAACCAGTACTTCTTCCTTGAACCTTTGCCTGGTATGTCTCTTCTACCCAGGAGTGCCCTTGCCCTCTCATGATTCCCCACTGCATTTCCTTTGGTTTTATTTCATGGCCTCTATCCTATTCACTCTTATTTGTGATGTCTGGCTCACAGTAGATGCCAAATAAATGTTTATTGATGAATAAAGTAGTGAACTAGTGAAAGGAAGACAGAGAGAGAGGAAGGAAGGATATATAGGTTTTAAAAATTCTGTTCCAGGGGATCCCTGGGTGGCGCAGCGGTTTAGCGCCTGCCTTTGGCCCAGGGCGCGATCCTGGAGACCCGGGATCAAATCCCACGTCGGGCTCCTAGTGCATGGAGCCTGCTTCTCCCTCTGCCTGTGTCTCTGCCTCTCTCTCTCTCTCTCTCTCTCTCTGTGTGTGTGTGACTATCATAAATAAATAAAAATTAAAAAAAAATAAAAATTCTGTTCCAATAAGTGCTATGGCATTTCCTCTGTCTAGGCTAAGACAGCTAAACTATATGAGTTCCACTTTAATCCATTTTATAATTTGAGCTTCTCAATAAGACTTTGTAGAAAGGGCTCTATCATTGAAGCATCCTGAAAATACTGCTTTGCGTTCTTTTACTTTGTGGACTTGCAGGTCCTTCCCATTCTCTCTTACTCCATACTGCCAGTGTTTTGTAAACAGGAACCACGTTCCACTTCTCTTTGTGGCTAATGTAATCCTCATTTTACAGTAAAAAAAATGTGGTTAGCATTTGAACTAAATAACATTTTAAAATTAATGAACATTTAGCTTCCATCTAAGTAGGGTTAAAAGACACATGTAATACACACAGCACGAGACCAGGAAAATGTACAAAACTGATATTTTAATTGATATGTACTTTCTACTCTGCAAATGACTGGCTCTAATCAAAGTGACTTCTTCATTCATGTTAAAATATGCACCTCTTTTTAAAGTGTAGCTGCCTACAAACCAACCAACCACCCAGCCAAAAAGGCATTGGGAGATTTTTACTTAAAAGACTCACATCTGAACTAAACTGAATTAAGGGTGAAATTTAAGAAAATCTATATAAACAAATTTATAAGCACCTATTTTCTCTTAACAAAAGTTTATAAATATACAGTGTCTCTGCATTTGTTAAATGAAACCTCTGTCTGCATTGGAAATGCAAGAAAAGGCCAAATGACCTCCACCCATTTGATTACTTACAGGATATCCTGATCCAAATAGAATAAATCATTTCTTTAAGAAATACACAACAGCAACAGCAACAACAACAATCAAACAGGCAAAATTCTCCTCTTAAACTTGAATGTACTTATGTCCCTCAAGGTACTTTAGGACTGAACAGATTGGAGGTTTACAAGGGCAGTAACAGCAGACAGGAAAGAACTTTCCTTAGTATACATTACTGCTCAACCCCCGAAATATTCAGGGTCTGACAATCCTTGCTGTCACAAGTGGTTAATATATACTTATTTCAGACATTGGTGAAGGATGGTAGCATTTTAAAAACATTCTGCTTTGTGTTTATTGACATTTACCATAAATATGAAGTGATCAATATTTGAAGTCTGTCTACTCAAGTTTATGGTGGCTTGAGGGACAAAGAAAGCAGGGTAGCTTTATCTCTATGCCCCTCACACACTCGCTAGTCTCTTCTTAAGTAAGAGTATTTACACACAGATTCTCAAATATTGTCCTCTGATGGTTGACACAAGAGATAAAACTATAAAGCCTTTCTTTGAGAATGGCTCACAGATAAAATTTATCACCTCATAATGATTGATCAAAAAAATATATATTTTAAGCTTATTGTCACTTCCCTGCGACCATGGAGGATTCCCATGTTTTTGCTGACGCTCTTCCAGGAACACCTGAGTCTATACATAGATTCCCCAGACAATTTTAATTGGAGGGAGTTCAACATCTCTACATTACAGAAATATGCAATTCAGAAAATATTGTTAAAAATTAAAATAGCTTGATTTTGACCATGTGATATATCAAGAAAGAGCTGAGTGATTTTACTGTTTTTCCTCAAAGTAAATAAAAGGTAAAGAAAATGAAAGTGTAATCTTATAAAAGATCATAGATAAAAATTTTGAAAGTACAGTGTAATTAAATGAACCTTAGCCAAATGAAGCTCAAACAAGTATGATAGTAAGGTGGCAGGGACAAAGTCAATCTGTTTCTGAATTTTGAGAATGGTATAAAATTTTGGATTTATTTATTAAATATGAACACTATAAGAAACTTGGCATTCTGAAGAGAAAAAAAGTGATACAAAAGCATGACTGCAAAATGGCAGAACTCCTTATATATAATAACTATTACTTATAATAGTGAAGTTACAAGTATATTAATAGAAGAGCAGAATTACTCTATGCAACAAAACTTCCAAATAAAATGTCCCTCTCTGAGGAGTAGATGAGGTCAGGGCATGTACTGATGTGTTCAGACATTACGTGAAGTACTCAATGTGTTTCTCTGATCAGGTACAGCCATGACTGTAGAAAGGCTCTTTGAAATTTTCTGTTAGGTTGATCTAATCTGGTTTTCCTCCACTAACACACAACCCAAATATAATGAAATATATTAGATAAAAAGCCAGTGTTTGTTTTTTAAATTTTTTTCATGAATTTATATTTCTGTAAAAGTTCTTACCCATACTTATTCTAAAATAAAAGCAACAAAACACAAGAGCAAACAAAAAATACCTTATTTCCTCTTTAGTGATATCCCTTCACGTAATCAGTTAAAGAAAAAAAATTAGGAAGGTAAATGAAAATGTAGAAAATTTAGGATCTAGATTTTTATCAAGGAAAATAAAAAAGTCTCAACATTCCAGATTTCTCAGTTGGCCCCTGACTTCATGACTCCCATCTCCTCTCTGTTTCCCCGTCGTGGGGCATGTGCTCCATCGTGCTCCCTTGTCTCTGAAATCTTTCTTTTAGACTTTGCTTTCTCCTTCCATGTCTACCTCCTTAATCCTCTGGACACCTGCAATGTTTTCAGTCCCTTTAAATACTTGTCTCACTTGAACAGTGACACTTTACATCTTGAATCCCTTCAGGTAGTAAGTACCTGAAGTTTTAACCCTCCTAATCAGTATTGGTCCAAAGGGTTCATTTGAAAGAGCTTTAAGCTTCACTTCTGGCGAGTTGATGTTCCTGAGAATCCCACTGACACCTCTGTGGAGGAGAACTTCCTCCTACCTAACACACAAGTCTAATCCATCTTTTATTTTCAGCAGTTACCTGCATTTTGGATGAAGAGAGTCAGAGAGGACCTGCTGAGCCGCTGCAGAATCCCTTTCTGCAAAATACCTGTAGTTAGAGGGAAAAAAAGCCACAGCTCCATACCTGTTGGATGCATTCATTTTAATCCAGTTTCAGGCCATTTTGCATTCAGAGATACACACCAGCAGAAGATTCCCACTTGTTTCAGCTCTTACAGAGAATGGATGGCTTTTCATAATAGAATTTTCCAGATAGGATGATGGTATAATAAGATAGTTGTAAAACCCACACAGATTTAGGAATGTATCAAGTGGGTTTGAAAAATCTTAACTTTGCCATTCTCCAGGGAGCTAAGGGTATTTGCAGTAAGAAGGGTGATAGACGGGGCAGGATGAAGGACACTCAGAAGTTAGAAGTGGCCTGGATGAAGGGACATGGGGAGGAGCTGTGACAGCTAAGGGGCAGAGAGAGGAAGAAAATGGAGGAGGGGAGACACGATGTGCATTTTTCTTGGAGAATATTCATGGGTATTTGAATTCTGGATGAATGCAAAATACGGTGCTAAAAAGCAAAATTCTACCCTGGGGAAAAAGGGCAAGGAATTTCTTAAAAATACACACATTTACCTACCTTCTAAAATATACCACAAGAAGTATTTCATAAAGACAGTAACAAAATAAAACATTACCATTTGTTATTTAATTTGACATCTATATATTTCCCAATAAATCTGAAGCATAAAACAAACTCTTGAATTTTCTCTCATGAAATTTCAAACCACAGTCAGCAGTTTTAATACACATGTCCGTGATTATTAATGAAATGGAGTCTCTTTTCTTACTTTTTCTTATTCAATTCAGAGCTTTGTTTTGTTTTGTTTTGTTTTGTCTTTTCTGACTTTTGTTGGCCATCTAGAAAACCTGGATTTCTTTTGTGTCTTATCCATACTTTTTGGTTGAGCATATCTAAAAATATCTTCAAACAAATAAGACAGATAACCCTATAGAGAATAATATACTGGATAGGGATCATTTATCATTTATGTGAGTGTCAGACTTGGCTTGTCCTTCCACTTTGTTTATGGTGACTTATCTTACAGAAGTTTTTAATTTTAACGTGTGAAATGTACTGGTTTTTGTCCTATAGCTTATGTTTTTTTTTTCTTTGTCTTTAAGGGATCCCTCCTTACATATCTGAAAGATTATCTCCTAGAAGTTATAAAGACTTGTTTTTGACATTCAATTTGTAAAACCGAGATTGAGAAGAGATATTTTATTTTCTTTCTCCTTAGCTCTACCTATTCAAAAGCTCATCCTTTCTCCACTTGTCACAATACCTTTGTCCTCAAAATTTACTTTTTATTCATTCATGTTATGTAATAATGTGGCATTTACAACATTTCATAAAAGAATAGGTGATTATTAAACATCTCAAATTTAAAATAAAGGCAAAGATCTGGGAGAAAAATGAGGTGCATCAAAAATGACTAAGGGGCATTGTAACATGGCAGAGGAGTAGGTGCCTCAACTCACCTGGCCCCACCAACTTACCTAGATAACTTTCAAACCATCCTGAAAACCTAAGAATTTGACCTGAGATTTAAAGAGAAAACAGCTGGAACGCCACAGACAGAAGGGTTTTCGTTTCTAACAAGGTAGGAAGGCGGAAAAAATAAAAAAGAAACAAGGGGGCGGGGCGCGGCGAGGAGCTGGGTAGGGCGGGTGTGTGTGTGTGAAAGTCTCCAGGCTGGTAAGCCCAGCCGGGGAGAAGCAGGAACTTTAAAAAATCCCCACCGGATTCTTCCCGGACAGAAAGGCGCTTAGCAGGGAACTCGGGTAGAACCGCAGGAGGGGCAGTGGGGGCTCCAGTCTCCCGGAGTCACTCATAGAGGAGGTGCGCCCGGGGGAGAGCGCGCCTCACACTGTGGGCCGAGCTCGGGAAAGGGCTGGAGCGCGCCCCGGGCCTCGGGAGCTCAGGCAGTGGCTCCAGGTGGAGGGGGCCGCGCCGCCCCAGGAGCGCGATTCCAGCAGCGCAGGCCCGGGGTCCCAGGGATCTGAGCGGACACAGGCCAGGATCCTGCGCTCCCCCCGGACAGGCAGAGGCGGGGAGGGCCCAGGACAGTGAGGACGCTCCTGCCGCCAGGTGCCCCCAAGCTGCGCAGGTCACTGCTCCTTCCCCCCCACCCCACCCCAACATCTAGGCCAGTGAGGACTGGGAGCAGCGGTAGTTACTGCGGGAGCTGACTCCAGAGCTAGAGACCTGGCCGCTGCCAGGGTGTTGTTCCTCCTTGTGTCACCCTGTGCCTGGGAGGGGCGGGGCCACCAGGGGACAGAGACCTCACTGGGTCAACAGCTCCCACTGAGTCCGGCACCCGGAAGGAGGCGGGGCAGCTCCCCCAGGTGCACACACCTGAGAATCAGCACAGCAGGCCCCTCCCCCTGAAGACCAGCTGGAAGGACGGGGGAGGAGCAAGTTCTTGGCTGAGCAGCACTGGAAAGCTCCAAGGGAAGTCGAGGGATTTATAGTATATAGAACTAGAGGGTACCCCTCCTTTTGTTTTTTTTTTTTTCCTTTTTCCAGTACAACTTGTTTTTATATCAGACTGTAAATATCCAATTTTTCCCCCTCTTTTTCCTACCTTAACTACAATACTTTACCACCTCTTCATTTTTAAGATTCTTCCTTTTTGACTTTCTTATTTCTACAATTACAGGTCCTAGGTATATTTTCCACTTCTAGATTCCCTTCAACATGCTCAACTTAATTTTGGGAGATATACAAGATATGTTTTTTTGTTTTGTTTTGTGTTTTTTCTTTTCTCTGCCTCGTTTTGTTCTACAATGGTGGAAGTTAATACCTTCTAAAACATGACCAGCATGCACCCAGAACCAAGTGGTATACCGTGTTGGTTCAGTCTGTGAGATTCCTCATTCCCATTATGCCCCCCTCTTTTATCTCATTCATGTTTTGGTGGTCAATGTTGGGGCCCTCTACAACTATTTCTGGTTTATATAAATTTGGGACTGAGCATACAGAACTTAATATACTCAGAAACAACAAGAGGATCACACTCTAGAACCCCTCAGGTAGACTACATTCTCCCTCCACTACAACTTCATCACCACCACCATCTCCCAGTACCTCCCTTTTTCTTGTCCTTTTTAATCTTTTTTCTGTTTCTTTTCTTATCTTTTTTCCCCTCTTCCTCTTTAAGATTCCTGCCCTTTTATTTTTTACTACTTTGTTTTAAAATTTGTTTTTCACTTTAGTGGTCCTTTTGTTTTATTTCGTTCCGATCTTTGTTTTCAATTTCTGGTCTCTGCTCTCATTAGAATCATCTAGCATGAAATTTACTTAGGTCGTGGTTGATATTCTTGATGCAGCCCGCTCATACAGCCATTCTGCACTGAACAAAATGACTAGAAAGAACTCCCCACAAAAGAAAGAATCAGAAACAGTACTCTCTGCCATAGAGTTACAGAATTTGGATTACAATTTGACGTCAGAAAGCCGATTCAGAAGCACAATTATAAAGCTACTGGTGACTCTGGAAAAAACCATAAGGATTCAAGAGACTTCACGACTGCAGAATTTAGATCTAATCAGGCCAAAAGTAAAAATCAATTAAATGAAATGCAATCCAAACTGGAGGTCCTAACGATGAGGGTTAATGAGGTAGAAGACAGAGTGAGTGATATAGAAGACAAGTTGATGGCAAGGAAGGAAGCTGAGGAAAAAAGAGAAAAACAATTAAAAGACCATGAGAAAGGATGAGGGAAATAAATGACAGCCTCAGAAGAAAAAAATCTATATATATTGGGGTTCCAGAGGCTGCCGAAAGGGACAGAAGACCAAAGCATATTTGAACAAATCATAGCTGAGAACTTCCCTAATTTGGGGAGAGAAACAGGCATTCAGATCCAGGAGATAGAGAGGTTCCCCACTCCCCAATAAATAAAAACCATTCAACACCTCGACATTTAAGAGTAAAACTTGAAAATTCCAAAGATAAAGAGAAAATCCTTAAAGCAGCAACAGACAAGAGATGCCTAACTTATATGGGGAGATTAACAGAAGACCTCTCCACAGAGACCTGGCAGGCCAGAAAGGGCTGGCAGGATATATTCAGGGTCCTGAATGAGAAGAACATGCAGCCAAGAATACTATATCCAGCAAGGCTCTCATTCAGAATAGAAGGAGAGATAAAGAGCTTCCAAGATAGGCAGAAACTGAAAGAATATGTGACCACAAAATCAGCTCTCCAAGAAATATTAAGGGGGCCCTTCTAAAAGAAAGAGGAAGCCCAAAGAAATAGTCCACAAAAACAGGGACTGAATAGGTATTACGATGACACTAAATTCATATCTTTCAATAGTAATTCTGAACGTGAATGGGGTAAATGATCCCATCAAAAGATGCAGAGTTTTGGACTGGATAAAAAAGCAAGACCCATCTATTTCCTGTCTACAAGAGAGTCATTTTAGGCCTAAGGAGACCGCCAGCCTGAAAATAAAAGGTTGGAGAACCATTTACCATTCAAATGGTCCTCAAAAGAAAGCAGGGGTAGCAATCCTCATATTAGATAAATTAAAGTTTATCCCAAAGACTGTAGAAGAGATGAAGAGGGACACTATATCATACCTAAAGGATCTATCCAATGAGAGGACCTAACAATCATGAATATTTATGCCCCTAATGTGGGAGCTACCAAGTATATAAGTTAATAACCAAAGTAAAGACATACTTAAAGACACTAATAGGAGGCTTCAACACAGGACTTTCTGCAAATGACAGATTTTCTAAGCACAACATCTCCAAAGAAACAAGAGCTTTAAATAATACACTGGATCAGATGGAATTCACATATATTTACAGAACTTTGCATCCGAATGCAACTGAATACACATTCTTCTCAAGTGCACATGGAACTTTCTCCAGAATAGACCACATGCTGGGTCACAAATCAGGTCTCAACTAATACCAAAAGATTGGGATTGTCCCCTGCATATTTTCAGACCATAATTGCTTTGAAACTTGAACTCAATCACAAGAAGAAATTTGGAAGAAACTCAAACACCTGGAGGTTAAAGAGCATCCTGCTAAAAGATGAAAGGGTTAACCAGGAAATTAGAGAAGAATTAAAAAGATTCCTGGCAACTAGTGAAAATGAAGATACAAGTGTTCAAAATCTTTGGGATACAGCAAAAGTAGTGCTAAGAGGGAAGTGTCTTGGGAGGCTTTTGAAGACTGCTTCAATTTCCTCCCTGGTTATTGGCCTGTTCAGGTTTTCTATTTCTTCCGGTTCCAGTTTTGGTAGTTTGTGGATTTCCAGAAATGCATCCATTATTTCTAGATTGCATAATTTAGTGGTGTATAGGTGCTAATGATATGTTTTTTAAATCGTTTGTATTTCCTTGGTATTGGTTGTGATCTCTCCTTTTTCATTTGTGATTTTATTAATTTGAGTCTTTTTTCTTTTTAATAAGGCTGGCTAATGGTTTATCTATCTTATTAATTCTTTCAAAGAATCAACTCCTGGTTTTGTTGATCTGTTCTACAGTTCTTCTGGTCTTTATTTCATTGAGTTCTGCTTGAATCTTTATTAACTCTCTTCTGCTTGGTGTAGGTTTTATTTGCTGTTCTTTCTCCAGTTCCTTTAGGTGTGAGGTTAGCTTGTGTATTTGAGGTTTTTCCAGTTTTTTGAGTGATGCTTGTATTGCGATGTACAAAAGTCCAGGGCCAGATGGCTTCCCAGTGGAATTCTATCAAACGTTTAAAGAAGAAACAATACCTATTCTACTAAAGCTGTTCCAAAAGACAGAAAGGGATGGAATACTTCCAAACTCCTTCTATGAGGCCAGCATCACCTTAATTCCAAAACCAGACAAAGACCCCACCAAAAAGGAGAAATATAGACCAATATCCTTGATGAACATAGATGTGAAAATTCTCAACAAGATACTAGCCAGTAGGATCCAACAATACATTAAGAAGATTATTCACTATGACCAAGTGGGATTTACCCCGGGATGCAAGGCTGGTTCAACACTCATAAAACAATCAACCTGATAGATCATATCAACAAGAGAAAAAACAAGAACCATATGATCCTCTCAACAGATGCAGAGAAAGCTTTTGACAGAAGACAGCATCCATTCCTGATCAAAACTCTTCAAAATGTAGGGATAGAGGGAACATTCCTCAGCATCTTAAAAGCCATCTACGAAAAGCCCATAGCAAATATCATTCTCAGTGGGGAAACACTGGGAGCCTTTCCCCTAAGACCAGGAACACAAAAGGGATGTCCACTCTCACCACTGCTATTCAACATAGTACTGGAAGTCCTTGCCTCAGCATCAGACAACAAAAAGAAATAAAAAGCATTCAAATTGGCAAAGAAGAAGTCAAACTCTCCCTCTTTGCAGATGACATGATACTGTACATAGAAAACCCAAAAGACTCGACCCCAAGATTGCTGGAACTCATACATCAATTCGGCAGTGTGGCCGGATATAAAATCAATGCCCAGAAATCAGTGGCATTTCTCTACACTAAGAAGAAGAAGAAGAAAGAAGAAGGAGAAATTAAGGAATCAATCCCATTTACAATTGCACCCAAAAGCGTAAGACACCTAGGAATAAACTCAACCAAAGAGGTAAAGGATCTATACCCTAAAAACTACAGAAGACTTCTGAAAGAAATTGAGGAAGACACAGAGAGATGGAAAAATATTCCATGCTCATGGATTGGAAGAATTAATATTGTTAAAATGTCTATGCTACCCAGGGCAACTTACACATTTAACGGAATCCCTATCAAAATGCCATGGACTTTCTTCAGAGAGTTGGAACAAATCATCTTAAGATTTGTGTGGAATCAGAAAAGATCCCGAATAGCCAGGGGAATATTTAAAAAGAAAACCAGAGCCGGGGGCATCACAACGCCGGATTTCAAGTTGTACTACAAAGCTGTGCTCATCAAGACAGTGTGGTACTGGTACAAAAACAGACACATAGATCAATGGAACAGAATAAAGATCCCAGAAATGGGCCCTTAACTCTATGGTCAACCAATATTGGACAATGCCTGAAAGACTAATCACTGGAAAAGGACAGTCTCTTCAATAAATGGTGCTGGGAAAATTGGACATCCACATGCAGAAGAATGAAACTAGACCATTCTGTCATACCATACACAAATATAAACTCAAAATGGATCAAAGATCTAAATGTGAGACAAGAATCCATCAAAATCCTAGAGGAGAACACAGGCAACACCCTTTTTGAACTTGGCTACAGCAACTTCTTGCCAGATACATCTATGAAGGCAAGAGAAACAAAAGCAAAGATGAACTATTGGGAATTAATCAAGATAAAAAGCTTCTGCACAGCAAAAGAAACAGTCAACAAAACTAAAAGACAACGTACAGGATGGGAGAAGATATTTGCAAATGACCTATCAGATAAAGGGCTAGTATCCAAGATCTATAAAGAACTTACTAAACTCAACAGCAAAGAAACAATCTCATTATGAAATGTGCAAAAGACATGAACAGAAATTTCACCAAAGAAGACATACATATGGCCAACAAGCACATGAGAAAATGCTCCACATCGCTTGCCATCAGGGAAATACAAATCAAAACCACAATGAGATGCCACCTCACACCACTGAGAACGGTGAAAATTAACATGATGGGAAACAACAAATGTTGGAGAGAATGTGGAGAAAGGGGAACCCTCTTGCGCTGTTGGTGGGAATGTGAACTGGTACAACCACTCTGGAAAACTGTGTGGAGGTTCCTCAAAGAGTTAAATGTAGAACTACACTATGACCCAGCAATTGTATTGCTGGGTATTTACCCCCAAAGATACGGATGCAGTGAAATCGCAGGACACCTGCACCCCAGTGTTTATAGCAGCAATGTCCACAATAGCCAAACAGTAGAAGGAGCCTCAGTATCCATCGAAAGATGAATGGATAAAGACATTGTGGTCTACTTATACAATGGAATATTATTCAGCCATTGGAAATGACAAATACCCAACCATTTGCTTCAATGTGGATAGAACTGGAGGGTATTTATTATGTTGAGTAAAATAAGTCAATCAGAGAAGGACAAACATAATATGGTCTCATTCATTCGGGGAATAGAAAAAATAGTGAAAGGGAATATAGGGGAAAGGAAAGAAAATGAGCAGGAAATATCAGAGAAGGGGACAAACTATGAGAAACTCCTAACTCTGGGAAATGAACAAGGGGTAGTGGAGGGGGAGGTGGGTGAGGGGTGGGGTGACTGCGTGATGGACACTGAGCGGGGCACTTGACAGGATGAGCACTGGGTGTTATGCTATATGTTGGCATATTGAACTCCAATAAAAAATATACAAAAAAAAATGACTGAGTAAGGCTTAGTTTCCTTTAAAAACACATCACTATCCTAACAGGATGGTGTCAAAGCACAAAGAAGCAACTGAAAAGGACTACCTTTGGCTTAAAAAATAGTGACTCCATATGACTTAATTTAAACATGAAAATAAAAGAATGAGCAGTTATTTGAATCACAACAAACATATAAAACTAGGAATTAAAATTGTATTAAAAAAAACTTAAAAATTTTTTTTGATCACTAATAAGGAACCTATGGCACCAACTCCTCAGTCTTGAGATTTGGCAACTAAATAGAAAATTTGAGCATCTGTCCTGTCTGTATTTTAGAGAAACTAAATAACCATAATTGATGAAGGAAACCGTCTTTACAGAATTCTAGCCAACAATTGTGAGAGGAATCACAGGATTGGAAAGTCACTTTTTATACAATTAATTAACTTGTCCAGTGAAGATTATTGAAGGATGAAGTGATCAGATAAAGGGCTGAGGGACTTTATGATGGCACCATCAGGCTGTGATGCCTCCCTTCCCTCTCAGCAGGACTGAGAAGGGGACACTGCAGGCCACCCTCTGATGTCACCTGAACCTACTGAGGCCTTTCCGAATACCTCCAAACACAATGAAGTTTGCCAAAGAAAAGGAAGAGGTAGTACCTTTTTAAATTTTAGGAACCGGAGTTATCTCTCAGAGGACCTCAGTGTTTTCTTGGAGTTTTCTATGAAGTGGCTTTTGGAACTAGTAAAACTCAACTTTGTCACTTCCACATGACCAGGACATCACTTTTTAATACTTAACCCTTCTGCGTTTTACTTACTGCAAATTGTATAGGCCCAGAAGTCCCATTCCTCGAAAATCAGTTTTAGGATCATCACCTTGGAAACCAATTTCACACCATTGCTTAGAAATTCGAGATTCCAATGGAGTATTGGGCTTCAAGAATTTCCATAACTGGAAGACAAGATAGAAGGTTAGCCTGTTGATGTAAACACAAACACTTTTTCCTATGGCAGATTTTGTAAACTATATTACTAGGAGGAGCTTTATAAAGCTGAATATAGATTTGATCATATTTCAATAATTTATGACAGTTCTCACTGTATGGTCTGAAGACTCCTTGGAGGGACTCAGAGACCTTTTCAGAGGATCTGGGAGGTAAAAACTATTTCATAATAAAACTTAAGAGGTTATTTGCCTTTTCTTTCTCACCTTCTCATGAGTATATAGTAGAATTTTCCAGAGGCTGCATGACCTGTGATGATGTCATTACTCTGGAGGCTATGGAATGTGTACTTGTATATTTTAGTGCTTTACACCTTTCTGTTTTAATTTCTTTTTTTTTTAATTTCTAATAAAAAATATAACTGTATAATCTCCCAGGAAAGGTCCTCAAAAATATTTAAGAGAATGAAGATAAGTGGCAAACAGGGAAAAATTTTAGGCCATGTATGATTTTTACCCCATTATTTTTTTTTAAAATTTTTATTTATTTATGATAGTCACACACACACACAGAGAGAGAGAGAGAGAGAGAGAGAGGCAGAGACACAGGCAGAGGGAGAAGCAGGATCCATGCACCGGGAGCGACGTGGGATTCGATCCCGGGTCTCCAGGATCACGCCCTGGGCCAAAGGCAGGCGCCAAACCACTGCGCCACCCAGTTTACCCCAATATTAACAAAAAGAAAAGTGGACTTGAGTTTCCTTTCTGACCTCTAGCAGAAGTGAGAGCAAACAAGCATCCTATAACCGGAAGAAGGAAGATCACTGATGTTCATGAATAAATAAACCTCAAAATATAGTATCCTCTTTTATAGTATCATTTTTAAGAGTTACCTAGAAGAATTTTAATATTAGTATATGTTAATTGACAAATATAAACTTAAATACTGGGCAGCCCTGGTGGCGCAGCGGTTTAGCGCCGCCTGCAGCCCAGGGCGTGATCCTGGAGACCCTGGATGGAGTCCCACGTCAGGCTCTCTACATGGAGCCTGCTTCTCCCTCTGCCTGTGTCTCTGCCTCTCTCTCTCTCTCTCTCTCTCTCTGCATCTCTATGAATAAATAAATAAATAATCTTAAACAATTTTTAAAAAAAATAAACTTAAATACTATGATCTTCACTGCTTAAGGAACTGGTTCTATTTTTCTAAGTTTTCTATTGAAAATAGATTCAGCAATACTATTACTTGAGAAAGTGAAACCCACAGCTGCATAAATATATAATGCTCAAACTAATCTTTCTAATAAAGAGATGGACATATAAGCAAATTTACTTTTTAGACTATTAATATTTTATATTGTGTCTTTATTATAGACAGGGACAAATATAAATATAAAATTTTCTTATTACTGTTTCAGACATAATTCAACTTCTAAATTGTTTATTCTGTGTAATACGGACTTTAAATCTTACAGAGAACAGTAATACACAAAAGGCTTGCTTTACAATGTATTGCCACATCTGAAACAGTATAGAACATAATAGTGACAGGAAACACTAACGAAAAAGAGATATAATTCAAAGGATACAATATTTTAGTGGTACAACTGCTAAAGGGTGAGAGAAAAATTTCAGAGCGAACAAAGTGAATCTATCATGCTTGAAAGCAAAATAGCAAACATGAGTCTAAGAAATCCCTTTTTATATTATCCATATGAGAATTTATCAGTGTTCTGTGTTCATCAGGTTGGAAAATATTTGAGTTCAGGAAAGGAGCGCTAAAGAATGAGAGAAGAGCCTCTTTTTAAAATACTTTAGGGGAGTAAAAAGTTTGAATAATGCTTAAAAAAGAAATTCCATTTTAATAATTTCATGCATCATGACAGACCAGACCAATGGCTAAAAAGTGTTCCTATTTATTTATTTTTCTTTAAAGATTTTATTTATTTATTTATCCATGAGAGACACACACAGAGAGAGAGAGAGAGAGAGAAGCAGAGACACAGGCAGAGGGAAAAGCAGGCTCCACACAGGGAGTCTGATGTGGGACTCGATCCCGGGACTCCAGGATCGTGCCCTGGGCCAAAGGCAGGCGCTAAACCGCTGAGCCACCCAGGGATCCCTATAAAGTGTTCTTAATTAAATTCTTAATCCTATCCGCTTTAATAAGGGTCACTTTCTCAGATAATGAAAGTTGATTATGGGATCCCTGGGTGGCGCAGCGGTTTGCTGCCTGCCTTTGGCCCAGGGCGCGATCCTGGAGACCCGGGATTGAATCCCACATTGGGCTCCCAGTGCATGGGGCCTGCTTCTCCCTCTGCCTGTGTCTCTGCCCCTCTCTCTCTCCCTCTCTCTCTCTGTGACTATCATAAACAAATAAAAATTAAAAAAAAAGAAAGTTGATTATGCTAAAGTATTTATATGAAGTGCTACCATGTATATATTTCCTGTAAGAATGAGTTACTGGATTCTCTTCTGATAGATAAGCTCTTTCCTGAAAAAGTAAGGAGAGGAGGCAGGGTGGCCCTGAAGGGTAAGGTCATTTCTTGCATGTAGGGAGATGACCAGAAATCTGAACCAAGGTGGCAGGCCTCTTTGGAGTTCAGCCATCTAAACCGTGCTGTTGGGAGTGGAGTTATTACAAAGCTACCTGCCACTGGCAGGAGACCAGTAATAGAAAGGGTGATTCCAATGGCAGATGACAAGCTACAGATGTGGAAGCTGTACCCTGATGGACTGTCATCCATCATGGCCTACACTCTGTTTCACTCTTTCTCTTTACACTGAGCCTTTATCACAAGCTTATTTCAACACTTTCCCTGTCTCATGTCTGTTTCAGAAGAGCAAGGGTAAGGTCCTTTGTCTATCCATTCATTCAAGGAGAAGCAGCCTTTCACCAAGACCAGCGATCATGGGTTTATCTCTTCCCATCAGGAGAAGATCTTTTAATTTTGAGTTTTGTTTTGTTTTTAGATAGGGGAGAGTGGGGCAGAGGGAGAGAGAGAAGCTTTTTTGTTGTTGCGGTTGTTGAGAGAGAGAATCTTACGCAGGCTCCACACTCAATGCGGAGTCTGATGTGGGGCTCAATCCCATGAGTTTGAGATCATGACGAGCCAAAATCAAGAGTTGGATGCTCACTGACTGAGCCACCCACGTGCCCCTATTTTTTTTTCTATTGAGTACCTGACTCTATCTAAAATTTTCACTTTATTATTAATGTGGTCAGCAAATGTTTAATAGAAATGTTCATTTGAATAACTCATATGGATAGTACTCTATGAACATAAGGCAATGTTATTTAGTTTCATCTCACCCTATATTTGAATCAAATGATCATAAAATCTTGATTTTCTTAATACTTTAAGACTATGAACACTGATAATGGCCTCCCACATTTATAAATCTGAGCACTTAAACAATATGGCAATGTATTATCTAAGCCTCTAAATCAAGAGTTGGCAAACTTTGTCTGTAAAGGACCAGATAGTAAATATTTTAGGGTTTGGTGGCCATATGGTCACTGCTGCAATTACTTAATTTTGCCATTGTAGTACAAAAGCAGCCAAATAGTACATACATCAATGAATGGACATGTTCCAACAAAACTTTACAAAAATGGGTGGCAGGCCAGATTTGGCCCACAGGCTTTAGTTTGCTGACTCCTGCTCTAAACAGTTCATGAAGTAGGTAACAAGAGTCTTATTACCATTTTAAAGATGAAGCAGCCTCAGGTCAGGCAGTTAAACACAAACCATGGAACAGCCTCTTGAAATACAAATGGGAAAAAAGGCATGGTTTCTCCCTTGGGAGGTAGTGTAGTGCAGAAGCATGGAGCTCTTTCTAACAAGGTGAGCTGGAGCAGCATCTAACTGCCCGGCCTCATTTTCCTCCCCCTTGAAAATGGGGATAGTGATAATCTCTCACCACAAGGTTATTGTGACCATTAAGTGAAATACTGCTGTCAAACATTTACTGTAATGATTAATGTGTGCTAAACATTCACTGAATGTTTTATTATTACTAATTTTATTATCATACTTGGAATTTGAATAAACTAATGAAGAGAATGAAGGTCCCACTTTTAAGTGTTCCTGGGAGATTGGTGAAGATTTCAATATTGAATAAATAAGGATTTTAGAAAGAGCTGGCTCTGGCTATGAGGATACCAGGTAATAGAGGGAATTGCATGAGCAAATGCCTGGGCATATGGCATGGCCTGGACTGTTCTGGGTCAAGGTGAATGACAGAGCATAGAGGCTACAGGAGGTACAGTTTGGGGAAATAGATTGGAAAGGGCCCAGAATGCCAAGTTAAGGTGCATGGGCTTTCTTCTGTCAGACACGGGGCAGCTGAAGTTTTATTTTATTTTATTTTTTTAAAGATTTTATTTATTTATTCATAGACACACAGAGAGAGGGGCAGAGACACAGACAGAGGGAGAAGCAGGCTCCATGCAGGGAGCCCGATGTGGGACTCGATCCCGGGTCTCCAGGATCACACCCCAGGCTGCAGGCGGCACCAAACCGCTGCGCCACGGGGGCTGCCCTGGCAGCTGAAGTTTTAAACCTGGGGAATAACATGACTGGATAATCCCTCTGGCAGTATTTTAGAAGATAGAAGGGAGGAGGCTAATAGTGGCAGAATTAAAAGGCTATTATAACGCCCCAAGCTAGAGATAATGCTAAATGAGGTAGTGGGTATGGGAAACATTCAAGAGTCATTTTGAGGGATCTCTATGGATAAGATTTAGTGATTTTTTTGTCATTGCATAGTATCTCCCCAATTAGATTGCAAGCCACTCGAGGGTAGAAAAGATGCCTTTCCTCAAGGTGCCTACGGCAGCAGTGGACTGCCCTGGCTTTATGACTTACTAGCTGTATGGATCAGAATCTGGTCTGTAAGGCTTATAGTTTGTTCAGTTGTAAAGATACCAACCATCACCTTGCTTATTTCTTATAGCTATACCAGTAAAAAAATAACACAAACTCAAATCATGACCACAGATAAAAGGTATATCAAAAAAGTCCTTGACTTTTAGTATCTAATGAACTACAGTAATTCATGCATTCATCCCTATTTGTTGAAAACCCACTATGTACAACATCCATACAACAGATCAGCTAGGATGGTGCACAGCAGACACCTAGATGTCACTGATTCTGAAGGCATTGGCCATTCTAATGAATTATTCAGCTGCCTGTGGCCACTCTGTTCATTTTTACACCTCTTTTCTCTTTCATTTATCTCTTATTTCTCACCTTGAGGTAATTTTAATTGAGCTCGACTACTTCTATCAGAAAATAGGATAAAAAAGGCAATAACAGGAAATGAAGCTCAGCCAGTAGTTTAGCTAAATTTAAGCAGAGCAGAAAGAAAAGAAAAACTGCTAAGAATGAGTGAGTCTTCTTTCATCTTTAAGGATTCACATCAGATATGGCACTAATTAGCAAACAAGTCATCTGTGTAAGTATTTACATACACAAAAGTGCGTACTCCACACAAAAACACAGAATATGTTTTTAAAATTACAGCTCATATTGACATTTTTCAATAAAATAAGGCAGTTAAACAAATGTTTCTTTCCAGTTTTGTTAGCGTCTTTTGTATTCTAGCAAAGGACAAAGAAGTACTCCATCCTAAAAAGCACCCATTTTCAGAAGTGAATTTAGAAGATATTTCAAATGAATAGTTCTAAAGGGGAGTCTTAATTTCTTAAACTCCAAATTCAGTGTTTTGAGGTCAAGTTATTGGTGTTTAATAATGCACATCAGATCATATAAGATCCTTGAGGGTTTGCTTTGACAGCCAGAAGAAGTATTTACAAGTGCACATTGTTCTTCTAACAGTTTTAGTAAACCAGTTATAAACCTTAACCTCCTCTTCTGATACTCTTCAAGTTACATGAATAAATAATCAGCAATAAGATCTTAGGTAATTTCCCAAGAGGGCTTTTGCTGAAGCAGAAACCAACTTCATCTTCTTTTATGTCTATTAAAAGTCATAAATGGAAATCCCATGTCACTCTTTGACAAATGCTTTTTCTCCTACTGGCTTTCAATACAGTTAAACAGCCTAAATCTGAGCCAGACAATGAGTGCTTAAGGAAAACACCTCTGATGCTGTCTCAGATTTTTTTATTTTTTATTTATTTATTTTTTAAAAAGGCTTTACATTTAACTTCTCACATGAATTTTCTAATGAAGAATTTACCTCTCACATCTGAACCAGCAAGAAGAGTAGGCTTTCCCAGCCAGCTACACACCCAGTGTCTAGCACTTGGCGGGGCTTGGCAGAGGTTAGCTGACTTAAGAAAGCACTGAAATGTTTTCAAGGTCTAACCTTCAAAAGCATTTCTTCATGTTGGGGGTTATCAGAATCATAGGGTTCTCTGCGCAGTTTTTCCACATCTGCAATAAGATTTCTGTAGCCAACAATTTGCAAAAGGCAAGCTTGAAGAGAGATTCCCAACCTAAGGTGTTCAAAAACAGAAGAAACACACATGAGGAGAAACAAAACATATTTTGGCGTTTGTTCACTTGATGTGTGCACAATAGGACTTTCCATATTTATATAATATTGAGGAAATTACTCATGAGATGTATTTTTTTATTGGAGTTCACTTTGCCAACATCTAGCATATCACCCAGTGCTAATCCCGTCAAAAGCCCCCACTCAGTGCCCGTCATCCAGTCACCCTAACCCCCCGCCCACCTCCCTTTCCACTACCTCTTGTTCATTTCCCAGAGTTAGGTGTCTCTCATGTTCTGTCACCCTCACTGATATTTCCCACTCATGAGATGTATTTAATTGTAGTCTAGTTTTTCTTTTTGTGGACACAGAACCATATTTAGTTTATTTAGAAACATAAAGGAATGTAACATTTCCTGCATTGATCTCACAATCACTTATTTGAGTGGAAGCACAGTTTCTTACTGAGGCTCCATATGGACAGTTGTAGAAATTGGCTAAAGTTTACCTCTTGTTCTGGCCTTTTCTTAAAGTTACAACAATATGGCTTAAAAAACAAGGGAGCTCTTTACGCAGGTGAGTTAAATAAGACGTAGAAAATATAGGTGATAATGAATTCAGAGGGATGATTTAACCCTGCTAGGTGGCTCTGTCAGAAGCACCTCAGGTGTGTGTGTGTGTGTGTGTGCGTGTGTGTGTGTGTGTGTGTGTGTGTGAGAGAGAGAGAGAGAGAGAGAGAGAGAGAGAGAAAGGGGGAGAGAGAGTGCTCTCAGGAGCATAGTGGAAGGAAAATTTCAAAACAACAATAACAACAATAACAGAAAAATCCCCAAACACCTGTGCTCGGGAGCATCCCTGACACATGAGGCAATACCAAGAGAAAGAACTCACTACTTTACAGAGTTTCTCATTCCCTTTTGACTGCTTTGTCTGAATGCTTTTTCTTATGTTGAAACAAAATTCGCTTTCCTTATTACCAAGTGGTTCAAATTTTGTTCTCTGAGAAAAATTCATTTCCAACTTTCCCTGGCCAAAACTATTTATCTTAAGACAGTGATTCTTTCTTCTAGTCTGATATACAGGAATCCTCACATCTCCAGTAATCCTCAGTTCCTTCAATTTCCTCTCATGGGACAAGGGTTTCACTTGTTTTACTCTCTCGCTGTCTTCTCTGAATGTATACTGTTTGAAGAACAGCCCCCTTAAACATATCACCAGAAAACAGTCTGGCAAGTGTGATACACAGAGAATCACTACTTTCTGTGATCTCAATGTTGCTTTTCTCTCCTACAACATAGCAGATAAAATAGGTCACATTACATCTATAAAACAAGTGACCAAATAATCACCACAATCCTTTTTTCATATAAACTACTGTCATGTAAATTATTCTCCAGTACTTGTTTGATGGCATTTTATTTTATTTTTTAAAGATTTTATTTATTTATTCATGACACACACACACACACACACACACACACACGAGGCAGAAACACAGGCAGAGGGAGAAGCAGGCTCCATGCAGGGAGCCTGGTGCAGGACTTGATCCCAGGACTCCAGGATCATGCCCTGGGCCGAAGGCAGGCACTATACCGCTGAGCCACCCAGGGATCTCCATTGATGGCATTTTAAAATCTAAAGGTAATATCTCATATTTATTTATTTATTATTTATTTATCCTGTTAAATTTTTTTATAGTCATTCACTTCTGTGGCTCAAAGATAGTTAACATTGGCAATTTCATAGGATTCTACCCAGAGTTAACTGTCCAGTATCCTCCTCCCAATTCACACTAAATTTGAACATTTTTTGTTGTGGTGGTGTTTGTTACAATCATCTTTTTTTTGAAGGAGAAAATGAGATGTTTAGAGGTTAAGTCTAATGTTGGGAGCAATAGAGAATTATACATTTTAGGATTGTATACCTATTCCACATATTGAGCATAAGGTCAGATAACCCAAATACTAAACTTAAATAAAACTGAATGTTCAATTAAATGGCCCTTATATTTATCTGTTACCATAGCACCACAAAATCAAAGGAGAGATTTAAATTTAGGAAAAGGGCAGAGTGGCACTGGTCACCCAGAGAATCAATGTAGAACTGAGAAGAGAGTTAATTTTGAGGAAAAGAGCAAGAGAATATAGGAGGGAACAAGAGGAGCCAATTCGATTTCCCCCCATTTTTACTGTAGTAATTTCTCAAGTGCATTAGCAGCGCTTGAAAAAAACGTAAAACAAAATGTGGTTACTTAAGGAAGTAGTCCAAATGTCCATTGACAGGTGAATGGAGATAGGTGAATGGATAAAGAACATGTGAGGTGTGTGTATATATATATATATACACACACACACAAAAGGTATATATATATATACACACACACACACACAAACACACAAAATGGAATATTAGTCATAAAAAAGAATAAAATCTTGTTTTTTTGCAAGAACATGGATAAATCTGGAGAGTATTATACTAAGTGAAATAAGTCAGAGAAAGACAGATACCATATGATTTCACTCATATGAATCTAAGAAACAAAACAAAAACAAAGCAGAAAAAAAGAAACAAACCAAGAAACAGACTCTGAACTACCAGACTCTGGGGTCACCAGAAGGGAGGGGGTGGGGCACCTGTCATGATGGGCACCGGGTGATGTAGGGAAGCGTTGAGTCACCATACCGTACGCTTGAAACTAATATAACATTGTATGTTAACTACACTGGAATTAAAGAAAACACAATGTATGGTTAACAGTAGAAATGGCTTGATAAATTATAACATATTTCCTCCAGTCTTCTCTATTTACTGTTTTTTTCCAGAAAACTATTTTAAAAAATTATATTTTGTCATGTCAGTCTAGGAAAAAAGGACTGAAATCCATATGGAGATGTAAAAATGCAATCTACTGCCTCTAAGAGTTTTTTCCCCAAAGGAAATCAAAAGCATAGATGGCAACTAAATGATCCTGAATGAAACATAGGACTTTCATGGAAAAGACAGAAAAGATTTACTATTAAATCGAATCCAATCTCCAAATATGATTGTGGGTCTAATATATCCCTCATGCCCAACTGCAGTCTTAAATTTTTGGTTCAACTTAATTTAAAATGAATTGCCTTCTTATCATCTTCCCAAAGAAATAAAATATGTATCAGGGGTTTCAAAAAGACATTTGCTATATAATTAAATCACCCTTAATGACTGAATAAGGAAAAGATAGCTAATTCGCTGAAGTGTCTGCAGAAGAATGCTATGGAGACCATGTGGAAATGGGGTTTTGTGCTGAGCCCCAATTAGCTAGTACCCAGAATCTCTCCAAGAGGCAGACCTATACAAAGCACACTCGGAAAGTCCCTTTAACTACAGTTTCCCATCTTTGGCAATTAAAAGCCTTTCTCAGCCATAACGTGAAGTTCTTGCCTATGCACATCTAAAAGACAGTTTGATTGTTACCTACCTAAACTGTCTCTAAATATATCTGCCTGCAGAATTTATTCTACCCAACATCCTTAACCCAAAATTTTACTGAAAAACTCCTGTACCCAATGGGAAGTATAAAGCTAATTTTAAAAGTCATGTACGTTGCCAAGTGCATTTTAATATTTCCAAGATGAGAGGACTAAATTACAAAGTTCTGAAGTCTTTGTATAAAAACCATCCTTCCCTCCCACACATGCCAGTCTTCTTGACAAGCATGTAGGAACCGTCTCCAAGATTATCAGCCTGTCATAAACTGAGGGGATATTTTTGATGGAGCAGAATCAGCTTGGGCACATTTACAACATGAACATTTACTGTTAATGTAAAACAGGCATTGTGTGGCATGATTGTTCACCAAATGGGTGCCCTTTATTTCCTCTTCTGATATCAGGGCATCCATCAGATTTCCTACATTCACTGCAGCTCAGAAGCAAAGGGTAAATCATAACAGAAGTAGAGAGCTGCTGCTATTTACAAATATGAAAAAGGTACCTTTTTTCTTTTTTCTTCATCTGAAAGTCAGAAACATTGCAGATGATGGTGGCAGGGAGAGTGGGAGAGCATGCCAGCCAGCTCAGCACTATAGAAGTACTAAGCACATGCCATGTGTTCTGTGTTTACAACAGCAGAAATACACTCTTACTGTGGATTTATGTCAGGGTTAATTTGTTTCAGTTCCATGATGTCCTCTATGGTTTTCTCAATGGCGTCAGGGTGAGCAGTCACTGAGGTCTGCAGCAGCTGGAAGACACATGCCAATCAGTTCCCTTGTCACGAGTGGCAGTGACTTGAGCGTGGTCTGTTCATAAGGGGGTCTTGGGTATTTGCTTAGAACTCCTCAATGACACTAAACTAATACTAAACTAAAAGCAAAAATTGATTTTGTATTTGAATTCTAGTAACTTAGACATTTTCACAATGGAGGGGGGCAGTGCAATTTTCCTGATTAAGATAATTAACATAAAACAGAAATACAGAAGTTTTTTTTAGTATTTTCATCTTTCTCAAGCTACTTAGGTTGAAATATTATTTTATTTTTCTTATCCAATATACATGGTTTCCATTGTTAACAGATAGTATGCCTATGACTGAGTGAAGGACATGGAGGATGTAGTCATAAAAATGCCCAAATTAAATAATAATGTTCAAGAATCTTGAAAAAAGAACCAACCCAGATTTTGTCTCTTATGTGGATGCTTAACAGTATGCTATAACAGCTAGCATAGTGGCTTCTCTGATTTTCTTGGGAAATCTTGAGTATAAAGTTAAATGATCTGGATATTTAAGAAATGCCAGAGAGTTAACATTGTTCTTATTTTCAAAGAATATTTATTCCATGATTTGGAAAATATAAAAAAGGATTAATTCAACAACAAAGTCATAAGTGCATCATAAATCTGCCTAGAAATTCACATTTGTGGCTACTCTCACGTCAAAAGTGGGGTGGCTTGTGATGGGCAAACAACTCTTCTCAATTTGCATACCCATTGATATATTTTTGTTTCTTAGTGTTTACTTTTTGATGATGGAGGTAAGCATCCAAGTGAATAGTTGCTTAAAATCATAAAAACAATTTTACTTACCTTACTTTTTGAATCCCTCAGTGATGTTTCTATAAAAATGACAATTAAAAACGTCATTAAAAATTATCCTTTATAAGTGGTTTAAAATTACTATACACAAATATAACACACAACATCCACAATCCCACCAAGCTTGTATTTTGCTCACTTCTTTGTTTCATGCTTACCGATTTTCATGGTTCTAGACGCCCCAGGTTTGGTATTGTAGCAGATCCGTTGCAATTCACATCTTCCAGTCAGTTTTCTCATTACAAATTTTAGGCAGCGCCACAAAAATTTACAGTAAAAATACAGGCACACCTGGAACAACATTCTGTCAAAGACAAAAGACAGCACCCTTCCACTAGAACTCTGGAAGAGAGCAGAAAGCAGCCACCACCAGCAGGAAGAGCCCCGAAAAAAAATCAACCATTAGACTCTGGGTTTACAAGCATATTTCATTTTTCTAATACCATGTTCTACTTGATGTATCTACAGAACCCACTACTGGGAAGGAAGCCCAAAGTCTGTGAGGACACACTATCACTGCAGGCAACTCCAGAATGCTCTATGCTAATAGAGTGGATATTCCCAAAACTGAGGGTGAGGCTCAGCCAAGAATCCTTTTCCCGCCTTTGCCTAAAAACATTTTAAAAATGAATAGGTACCTCCTTGTGTTTTAGGAGTTATCTCTCCCTTAGCTGAGGGGAAGAACATAGAGCCTTCTTCTGCCTCTGTAGACAGCCTCTCAGCTAGCTCTGCTCGATTTCCAGCCCTGCCTTAGTGCCTTGTGGGGGGGCCCTCTATTTTGATTCTTCCCTTGCTCCCATCCTTTCCCTCCTTCTCTCTGCTTTCCTTTTAGGCACTAGAGGACGCGGTTGTGTGGCACGTGTCTTCTCTGCTCCCCAGTTGCACCACTTTCGTGGACTGGTCAAAGGCCTCTTCATCAGTTCATTGAATAAGTGGGTTGGCCTTTAGTTCTCCAACATCCTTTCATTTAAATTAAACTTCATCTCTTGACAAGTTTGTTCTTGGCTCCTTCTAACAAAGTTTTCTTTATAGCACCCTCTATCTCACTCCAGTAATTCCTCAACAAACTATGAAATGTATAGTTGCCAATCAGGTACTTACAACTTCTCTAGCATGTGGGGATTTGTGTTTTATGCTGATTTTCATTTTTAATATGTGAGTGTCTTCCACATCACAGTACAGTTTAGAGTCTCAAAATGACTCAAGCTACAGAAGAAAAGACTTCCCATCCAGGAACTTATATTCAACCCATCTTCTTTTCCTACTGTGCATTCCTAGGAGGCAGAATTATTTATATAACTTCCTTTTGCTGTCATTTCTAAAAGATGTTTATTTTTCACAGATGTTCAGTAATTCCCTCCAACTTTAACATGATCATTCAGATTAATGAGAGTAGTTAACGAATAACCTTAGTGATGTGATCCATCTATGTATATGAACCAACACTTTGTGTGTTCCTTTGCTTAATTGCTCTGGCTCTAATATCTTGGACAGCCTGTGTTAAAATAAAAATTCTAATAGGCTAATCTGTACAAGGGCATGGGATCTATATCATATAAATGCAAAGGAATGGAGGAAACCAAACTGCTATACTAAGATAATACAATGGAATTCTTTGTAGGCAATAAAATTATGTTCTAGAAGAGCTAGTAACATAAGAAAATGTCAAAAAAAAACCATAAGAAAATGTCATAATATGCTTAACAAAAAGAAAAATTAGAAAGAAACACATATGATCTTCTTTTTCTTTGAAAAAATTTTATGGTGGAGCACCTGGGTGGCTCAGTCGGTTATGTCTAGCTTTTGATTTCATCTCAGGTCATGATCCCAGGGTCTTGAGATCTTGCCCCACCTCAGGCTCTACACCTATGATCCTTCTTCTTAGGTGGATCCCCCTCCCCACCCCTCTATCTCTCTCTCTCTAAAAAAAAGTAAGTAAATAAAAATAAATTAATGGTGATGTATGAACACAGAGAAAAAGATGCAGAATATACAACAAAAATGTTAACAGTGGTATTTCTGGGTAAAGGAAAAATAAGTACTTTCAATTTTCATTTTTTGGCTAGGTATATTTTCCTTTTTGTATAATAGGTACATTTTATTTAAGAAAAAGGAGGGTTATAACAATTAAAATGTATAAAATGATCACCAAAAGCCCTTATAGAAGTACATATAAAATATCAGTGTAAACTCAGATTCTGCTGAAATATAAAAAATTGATTCGCTATCTTTGGAAATCTGAAATTTAACTATTTTAGCCAAATACATCCTAAGATCTATTAAGATTTAGGTTATCCATTCCCCCGCTCCCCTCCACCTGCCCAAAGGTAACCTAAAAATAAATTTAGAGGAACATCTTTTTTTTTATTTTCAAAAATTTGAGATAGAGCACAAGTTGGGGGAGGGGGGCAGGGGGAGAAGCAGACTCCCCTGATGCAGGGCTCCATCTCAGGACGCTAGGGTTATGTATGACCTGAGCTGAAGGTAGATGCTTCACTGACTGAGCCACCTAGGTGCCTCTAGAGGAACATTTTAATTAGATGGGTGAGAAATTTTACAAAACTTCAACTTTTTCTCTTGGGAAAGCTTTTCCATTTTTCCACCTAGTAGATAGCTATGCCAGAAGAAAAGATTGAACAATATCTTTGTTAACTGGTCACCAGCCAAGTGGCAATGATATTATAGATTGGCTTTATTCCTGTTACTAAGTTGAGGATAAAAGCTTTCCATGATGTGTCCTTATGGTGCCCATGTAGTTTATCTAGCATGTGAGCCAACTCCACAAATGAACCCTCTTCAGTCCATGTGTCAGGACACCAGGACAATTAGGTTCTTGTGGTACCAAATGTTCCTAGACAAAGGGTTCTGATTATTGTTTAAGGAGTATTTATGTATTTACTCTACTTAGGGTGCAAGCCATCAGACCGTTTTATAGCTTAAATTAAACTAGAAAGTTTCCCCCATGCAACTTCTCCATCAAATCCATACAAAGATGTGGCTTGAGGCCTAGAAGTGTCCTCTTAGGAGCAGGGAACATCCAGGTGTATAGTAGTAGCTTCTAGCCCATCTGTAATTTCTAACACTGGCCTCCTTGCACAAGAGAAGAAAATGCCTGGGGAACTGTTTTGCATTAAGACAGCTTTACACAATAGAAGAGAAAAGATAGCATGTTCTGTTTGCTTTTATCTTTTGTTTTTTTTCAATTCCCTTGAGGATGTTCCTACTATCAAAGACAGAAAAACCCAGTGGAAATCTATGGTGAGGGGTTAGAGATGCTGCATCATCTCTCTGGGCTCATCTCTCTGAGGTATAGGTACGACATCCTTCTCACACAATCACATAAACAGTAGCATCACACACTGTGAACAAGAAATGCCCATTCAATTGCAGAGTGACGTTTACACACTGGTTCTTTACTTTTGTAATTTCTGGGCCAGTTGTCCTGATTATATTAATTATTAAGGTTATTATTTTAACTTTTTTCCTAATGGGCCAAAACACCCCTAAATATTTCATTAAAAAGCCAGCTTACTATGCTAGGCACTATATTTTCTTGCTTTGCTAGGTACTTGAATTTTTTACAAGCCAGATCATCAGATCAGACAATGTTTTGACAGATATAATTTATTTTGCATTTAGATCAGAAACCTAAGGGATCCCTGGGTGGCGCAGCGGTTTGGCGCCTGCCTTTGGCCCAGGGCGCGATCCTGGAGACCCGGGATCGAATCCCACGTCGGGCTCCCGGTGCATGGAGCCTGCTTCTCCCTCTGCCTGTGTCTCTCTCTCTCTCTCTCTCTCTCTGACTATCATAAATAAATAAAAATTAAAAAAATTTTAAAAAAAAAAGATCAGAAACCTAAGGCATGGACAGAGATGGAAACATCAGTTCTACCCTTTACTTTGGAGGCCTTGTTTTAATGACAAAACAATATCCAACCTGCTTCCTCATGAAAGGACCAGATCAACAAAGCCTTCATATGAGCATCTCAGAATGGCTGTGGTTCACCAATAGGTGTTGCCAGGAGCTTACTTTTTAAGTTTTTGGACCTATTTAAGTTCCTAAATTGTAATGTTTATGAAAAAACTGCTGAAGGTCCAGAGGAGAATAAACATGATTAAATATTTTGGGAGAATGTTAAAAATGTGCTTGGCATGTTTATCCTTTTCTGAAAAGGAAGAAATTAAGAAATGGATTTTTAAATGCTTTTACATTGATCAGTAGTTGGTTTTGGAGAAAAGGGAAGGAAGTTCCTACTTTTAGAATGAGACTTACAGCCATCCCCTGTCCACCAGCTGAATTCTATGTTCAGGGGTTTTATAAATCTGCTTGGCCTTTCCTCATGGACTAAATCACCAAAACAAGAGGCTTACTTTTCATTAGGGAAATATTTTGCTTTTTTTCTTCATCACACTAGACTTATTTTCTTAGTTCTGATGGAAGATTCTCAACTCACTATTGAAAAGATCTACAATTTGTACGGACAACTATAACATTCTCAAGAGTACTAGGAGAAAATACTGATCATATCTCCTGTTTTTAATAATTGCATGCATAGATAGCAATTTTTGTGTTTGTTTCTGTTGTTGTTGTTGTTGTTTTTTAATCACAGCATTTTGATAGTGTTCCAGAAGGACATATTGTAAATGCCTTGCACAAGCACTGGCAGAAACTGAGTTTAATAATAAGAATTACTTACTTACGGATGTTTTATTTCCAACATTTTCTATTACAACCATTTATTAACATGTTGCAGAGTAAGGTTTATGGTGGAGTTCACAGCAGTGTTTTTCCACAAGGCAATTATAATCACTTCTATTATTTAACATTCATTCTCTGGCTTGAACCAGAATAGCCATCCAATGTAAATTATTCAAAATGGATCATATCTCTAACAACAAATAAAAGTGAGCTCCTATTTTGTGGTGCTTTGTTAAAGGGATCTACTCAGCAGGGATAGGGCCTCTGAAATGGAAGAATCACCCCAGAACCATGTAGCCCCCTGCCTGCAGGGTGGGGGGTGTGGGTACCTGCAGTGCAACACTACTCCAGCATCTTAAATTGTGACTGACGTCTTCTTTGGGGATAATAAGAGAAAAGTGGCTTATTTTGAACAGTTTCAATGAATTTGCTAATGAAAGTTAATTCTTGCTTGAAGAAATCCTGTAATAAATAAGAAGCACACTACTGGTGAGGAATGATGCATACAAAATAATTGCAGTTCTTGGTTCAAACCAGTTTCCTAAACAAAACACTTTTCATCTAAATGGCCGTAAAGAACAACAGACTGGTCAATGTTTCCAACATTTCATGCATTTTCTGAAATGATACTTTAAAAATCTTAGTTGTTCTATTGGAGTTCCTAATTAGGGGCATGGCAGTCAATTGGAAATTAACTTGTCAGTAGGGGTTTGACCTAGTAAATGCATGACTCTATATACCTTCTGCCCTTTAAAAGCAGTGGACAAGTTAGTGCTGAGTGGAAATGCTGCCTGATTTCACATCTAGCCTGGACTTGCCACTATGAGCTGTGTGACTTTGGACAAGCTATGTTGCTACTCTAGGTCTCTGTCCTCTCCTTTGTAAAGGTGAAGGGGATGGACTAGATTTCTGGCTCTAAGCAAAGGCTAGACACAAGTCGCAAGGCTCAGTTTTCATCGGACTCTCCCTTCTCTCTAAGTCCCACTGTAGGTCTGGCCAAAAAGGTTACCATGCTTCTGGGCTGTGTTGTGTCTGGTCTGCAAGGTCCCCGAGAACTGCCTCAAGTTTATCTTTGCCACTTGTCTTCTACTCACGCTGAAAAGGGTCTATGTAGGGCCAACAAACCTGGACCACCTGCTGCTTGTGGTATCCAACCTGCTTCCTCATGAAAGGACCAGATCAGCAAATGGTCCTTGCTCAGCCTATGTCTCCTGCAACTTCTCCACTTCCCACACCCTCTGTCCTTATCTAAAAATATTAACTTCTAGCCTCCCTTTCTCTCAGCCTCATCTCAACGAGGCCTTCTCTGAAAATTTCTGCCACAAAATGCTTGTGACCCATCAGTGATCACGTTCCTTCTTATATCTGAGTTTTGTATGTGTGTGCAAGTGGTAGGTTAAGAGCAGAGATCACCTCATATTGGCTTTTGTATCACCTACAACACCTCACGACAGGCACACAGTGAGGAGGTAACACGGTGCAGAAATGATGAGGAACAGCTCTGAAGTCAGACAGGCCTGCATTCAGATATCTGTGTACTCCTGGATGAGTTATGTAACTTTGCTGAGCCTTCTTGCTCTGCCCTCTACAAGGGGATATTAATCCCTACTTAGTTATAAAGAGAAAATAAAAATTAAAAATGTGGAATTATTAGCAGTAAGTGCTTACTAAATCAATGAGTGGACTAGAAATTAATCAAATGTGAATGACTTAAAAAACCAATTTACAGATACTTTTGCTAATTGGAAGCCTTTATTTATCTCATGATAGGGTTAAATACTTTCTCCCCCGTCAATTGCTTTAAAACCAGGACTTGGGTACATGTTTGTTCTGTTTCTCAGAATTTCTCCCACAGAGTATGAGTGTGAGATATGCTTTCCTTCCCTCTCTTTTGCCTGAGGAAGAGGGTATGCAGTGAAATCCAAGGCCAAGAAAGTGAGACTCTGAGGCTGGGAAAGTTGGAAGCAATTATTTATAGAGAGTGACTTAAAAGATTCCCTTTATTAGGAAATTTCAAAATAGTCTGATAACTGTAGAAAATATAATTTCAATAAATAAATCCTAGCCAGGGAAAATATCTTAGTATAAGTTTTAAGCCATCCCTATTACATACATCAACTTAATTAAAATTTTAAAAATACATGAACTAAATCCTAAGCCTCAGTTCTATTTGGGGCTCAAAAAGTACCCCCTCTTTTTCTGATATCTACATAATTACACTTTCTTCTGTATTTTACCTTTGACTTCCTTTAATGCAGACCATGGCTAAAGTCATGGAAATGACTATGGGCTACTTATCCAGCATCCCATATCTACTCTCAATTTCAAAAGTACCCTTCAGCTGGTGTGCTAATCCTATAGCATTTATTTCTAATATCTCATGTAATGTAATGTTTTTTTTAATCAAATATTTTCTCCACTCCACTATGCTCTGAAGAGTCACACCATTAATACACTGGTGACAGTTATCCTAATGGCAGCAGTGAGCTTAGAGCAGAGTGTGGGTACCATATTACTTAACTATGGGCTACAATCCATTCTTTCCCACAACCTGGTTTAAGATTAGCTTCATTTCTTCTGGAGCTGTACATGAAGCCTTTCATTCTGGAGCAACTCAGAGGTTGACAGATGAATCACGCTGTGGGCTTTTAAATAATCCTGAATTCTTCTCAGAATCAACTCTTCATTCTACATAATATATTTGCTAAGCTCAGGAATAAACACCTAATTTGTTCAGGCTGTGTTTATATAACCCTCTCTTTGGTGCAAATGAAAAGACTGCCACAATTGTCCCACATTCTATGGGAAGGGACTACCAGGGGAAGGAAAGGCAATCTAAATGACCTGACAGAGCCTGTGAATTAGGGTGATTCTCCTTGCCCTCTTATCCTTTCAGATTCCATGAACATCAACACATAATGAACACACACATTATGACTTAATAAAGAAGCATTAAAAACACAAACTAAGGCCAAAGCAATAATCAACATGGGGCTGTCACTGAGTTTCATTATTTCAAAACCAATGGTCAATGAAAATCCTTAAGTTTCTTTCTTGATATGTAATCTGTTACCCCAGCTTCAGTTTCATATAAAGAATCAATGTCAAGTCATATTTATAAAATATGTCTCAAGTTAAAAGAGATGAATTTGTATCAGAACATGTAACTGATTGGGATGTGCTGGCTCTGGTCTTAGGGCTCTCCTGTGTGAGGTTAAGCAGTAGATTTTCACCAGACCAGTTCGAAATCTCAAATACAAATTAATTAAAAATGTTCTAATCTGTATGAAACACAGTGTTGCAGATGTTTAGCTTAATGGAAAACAGAAACAAATTCTATTTCTCCTAAAATGGCTGGTTTAGAGGCTGCTCAAATTTTTCTAAAATAAGACTCTGAAGAGGGAACCCAGTAATATGAATCTTGCCACAGATTTCACCACTACCAGCACCCCTTTGTCAGAAGGAGCTGCTGACCTCTAATCTTCATCTAACACTAGAAACTTCAACTAAAAGACCATGTTTACGTTCAGGAGGGATTCATAAATACAAATTTTTCATGAATGTGTAAGTAAATAGATGGGTTAATTACCATGGCAACCAAAACCATGTCAAGTCAGTCCTGTGCTGGCAGATAGCCTAGTGATTTTTCAAATACTGTCCTTTTGCACAGCTGAGATAAACAGGCTGAGGAATATTCTGTACAGTAAAACAAAAGCTAAAGCCGATAAACAGTTTAACAGGGACCTCCTGAAAGGTTTTCGTAATTCTAACACCAAAAGCTCCACCAAAACACAGTGAGTCCTGCACAGACTGATCTAGGTGTTCCAGACACAGTGCTGTAACCAAAATCAGTGAGGAAAAGAAAATCTTAAATGGCAGACACTAAAGGAATTAAATCATCTCCTAAAAGAAGCCCATTAATTATTTGCTTAGAGAAAACAGCCAGAGCAAGGAGTAAGAATGCATAATAGAGGTAGGCCATTTTGAGGAAAAGAAACTCCATATTCTGGAAAGTGGGTATTATTTTCTAACTTTCAGGACCAGAATAACTCTATTTTGTCATATTTTAATACGACGTAAAATTTCTCTGGGAATTTCATTAACAGATTGTGAATGGCAGTCAAATGCTCTTAAAAATAATTATGATTATAGGTCCAGCCAAACAGCTTTCAAAACAAAACAAAATCACCACAAAACACAGCAGTGTATATGTTACTCTGTACAGCACAATCTTTTTTTTTTAAGTTTATTTATTTATTCACGAGACACACACAGAGAGAAGCAGGCTCCCTGTGGGGAGCCTGATGTAGGACTTGATCCCAGGACCCTGGGATCTTGACCTGAGCCAAAGGCAGACGCTTAGTCACTGAGCCACCCAGTTGCCCTGTACAGCACAATCTTAAAGGAACCAACAATTAATGCAGATTTCAGAGGCATCAAGGCAGCAGGAAGAGCAAAAGCTTAGAATATACATATGAACATATATATTTTTTACTACCAAAAAAGAATGTTTGAAAATACCTGTATGATTGGCCAGCCAACCAAAATCTAAATTTAAGGAATATTTATGGGATGCCTAGGTGGCTCAGCGGTTGAAAATCTGCCTTCAGCTCAGGGCATGATCCTGGAGTCCTGGGACTGAGTCCCACATCAGGCTCCCTGAATGGAGCCTGCTTCTCCCTTTGCCTATGTCTCTGCCTCTCTCATGAATAAGTAAATAAAATCTTTAAAAAATTAACTAATTAAGGAATATTTAAAATTACTTTTTTTCAGGGAAATGATTCTACATAAATTGTACTGATTCCTTGACTACTAATTCCTCAAACCTTGACTTTAAGGCTTTAGAGATGCATGGCATCTAGGCTGTCCAGACTATGCCTGCATCATGCTTTTGTGCCTGTGGTCTCTTAGAATCTCTTGTCATCTCCTCCCGGTAAGGGCTCTTAGCATCAGTATGCATAGCAGTAGCAGAGGAATCTTGTGACCAAATTATTTTTAGCCAGAATACAATGCTATTTTATGCACTCCTAAGAGACCTGGTTATAGGATTACAAATGATGAATAGAAATATTTTCCTAACTGGAAAGGAAATATCTCCATTTTAGAGGGCTCAACCAGAGAACCATAGATACTTACCTCAGGAAGTGCTTCATTGCGCCCGTTGTGATTATCTATGTGTTAGCCACTGTCCTCAAGTAAATGCTTCCAAATTTGCCTTTGTCAGAGTATGTGTAAGCTGTGGGAAGAAATTTAATATATTTACTATTAATGGTACTAGAAATCCCAAAACCAAGATCACTGCTTACTTTAGTAAGCAGATAACATGTCATGTACCAGAACATGATCAACTAAACTGCTCACATAGCATTGCAATTCAGTGAATGGTGATTATAGCCAAAGGCTTTCACTTTATAGTTATGTAGTTAGTCTTTCATTGTAAGTCCCTTGCTGGAGAAATAATTCCTTTCATAAGCAGTCTAGTCAATAGTAAGGTTTTTCTCTGTCTTGGGTATTATTCCTATATTTTGAAGAACAGTATTTGTAAGAAATGAAAAATCATAAAATGAACTATCATAATTTCTAGATATTTGGTGGTCTTAGATCTGGCAGCCTCAGCTTTCCAGAAGTACAACTCAAAAATAGCTAGAAGCCACTGCTGATATCTTTAAGCTAAAAATTAGATGATAAAGAGCCAAGTACTCCAAATGAATGAACGTTATACCCGCAGCCCCCCCTTCCAACTTTTTTTGGCACTTTGAACAAAACAGTGGAGTTTTCTATTTGTCTAGCACTTTCCAGTTTGCTTTTGCAACATCTACAGGCTATTGGTCTTCCTCCTCCCTACAAGGAGGTTGCCAGAAGCTGCCTGCAAAGCAGCAAGTTGGGACAAGATGGAAGGGTACAAACTAGAGAAGAGAGAGTGGCTGGAGGCATCCGAGAGAAGAGACGAGTGGGGCCCCAGGCTGTGGGAGACAGGCAAGGAGCTGAGACACCACTGCCACCCAGAACAGCCCAAATAAAAGCCAGGTTTTTCTCTTACTACATATGTTTCTGTAACTCTTCCATGAATGTTTGACAAAGAGTAAAAGAGTGTCTACACCTCCACTGAAGATTGCAGTTGCTTCTGGGAGGTGAGGGAAGGAGTGAGGACTGGAGTAAAGACCCCTGGGGAAAACTGGCCTTCGACTTCCTGGTTTTATTTCTTAACATGTATCTGAAGCCAAACAAAGGGGCAAGAATGTATAATAGTTTTTTTTTTTTAATTTATGATAGTCACAGAGAGAGAGAGAGAGGCAGAGACACAGGCAGAGGGAGAAGCAGGCTCCATGCACCGGGAGCCTGACATGGGATTCGATCCCGGGTCTCCAGGATCGCGCCCTGGGCCAAAGGCAGGCGCCAAACCACTGTGCCACCCAGGGATCCCAAGAATGTATAATAGAGGTAGGTGGTGGGAAGATGTTTTGTGCTTTTATGGCTTTAAAAAAATGAATCCAGTCTTGTATTAAAGTGTTAGTACCTACCCAGCATCCAGATGGTGGTTCTGAATATGGTTGACAATAAAGGGAACTAGGGTTCCTTGGAGAAATGGCTGATTCTAGGGCTGGGGCAGGGAATATACAGGGTGTGCCTGAAGAGTCTTGTGCCAGAAAGTAAGGGAGTGCTTGAAAGACAAACAGTCAAGGATATATCAAATACACACAGGAGCCAACCAAAAAAGCTCCCAATGGCCAAAGCTGGAACTATTTAAGTAACAAAATAAATAAAGTAGTATTGGATTATTGCCCAAAGTAGGAAATAAATATCCAAGATTGCATACTGATATAAATGACTGAATAAATAAATAAGGGGGAATATGTAAGTCTTTAGTACAAATGAATTCCATATAGTTTATGTGGATACTCTGCCCTCAAGGAGGGGGAGTCTAACACCTAATCCCTTAAATGTAAGCTGGACATAGTGACTTCTTGGCACAAAATGGAAAGGGGGGGAAATTAGTAACTTTGCACTAGATGAAGTTGGCAAATACTACCTCAGCTAAGTGATCAAGGTTAACACCACAATGACAAGTCATATTGAGACTCTGTACCCTTGATACGATGTGATATAAAAGGCACTTTACCTCTTTGGTCTACCTATTCCTCCAAAATAATGAGAAAAACATCAGATAAATTCTTATTGATACTCCACAAAATACCCAATCAGTACTCCTCCTAATTCTCAAGATCATCACAAAGAAGGGAAGTCTGAGGAACTGTCAGGGCCACGAGATTCCTAAGGAGACACAGATATTAAGTGTAATGTGCTATCCTGGATGGGATCCTGAAACAGCAAAGGGACGTTAGGTTAAAAACTAATGAAATCTGGGGGCGCCTGGCTGGCTAAGTCAGAGGAGCATGTGACTCTTGATCTTGGGGGTTATAAGTTCAAGCCCCACATTGGATATAGAGATTACTAAAAAATAAATAAACTTTATTTTTTTAAGATTATATTTATTTATTCATGAGAGATACAGAGAGAGAGAGAAGCAGAGACACAGGCAGAGGGAAAAGCAGGCTCCATGCAGGGAGCCTGACGTGGGACTCGATCCAAGGTCTTCAGGATCAGGCTCTGGGCCGAAGGTGGCCCTAAACCGCTGAGCCACCTCGGCTGCCCAGAAGGAGACTATATTAGAGACATCTGAACCTTGTCCCACAAGCAGTGGGGAACTACTACAAGTTTTCAAACTGAGATGTGACATGATCAGACTTCTGGTAGTAAAAATATACTCTGATTGTAGTATGGAGAGTAAGTTAGATTGTGAGAGAACTATAGGTAGGGCACCATTTACAGGGTTGATACAACAATCCAGGCAGAGATAACCTGTGACCGGAGAAAACAATAGACAGAGATAAGTGTGATGGTTTGAGATATTTAGAAAGTAAAATCAAGAGGACTTGGGTTAATTTACTGATTAGGGAACACTAGTGAAGGAAAGGAGGAGTCAAACACCATGCCTGTCCCTATGGGTAGACAGTAGGATCTTCCTTCCCCTAAGGTATGGAATTCTGGAGATGCAGATCTAAGGGTCTACGTGTATTTGGGGGTCTTTGCAGCGTTTTGAACTTGCAGGGTCAAGTGGTAGTGTGGATATACATGGATCTGAAAGTCAAGAGAGAAATCTCAGCTGGAGACAAAGATTTGGGCTTCCCCAGCATATAGATGGTAATTAAAACCACAATCCAGAAGGAAATACTAAGTCAATAGTATATACAACATTTGTTGCTCATAAATAGTTCTTTGTCCTTAGGGTAATAAATTAGAGTTGTACTACCAAGGCAATAAAAAATAAAATACATTTCAGAAAGATTTTATCAAAATAACAATAATATCCTTAAATTGTTAGTTTGTTATTTAGGAAACTGGTTTATCTAAAAAAATGTCTTTTCATAATGATGTGGGAGAAGTGTGGTATTGTAACACTTGAGCTTCCTGTGCTCTACATAAGTGTTCCTGAACCTATCCATTCCAAACAAACAAAACAAACAAAACACATTCCTGAATTCTATGTGCTAGCATCGTGCTGGGTATTATCACATAGTTTAATACTGCAGGGAGCTTTACTATTTAAGGGAAAATTCAGCAAATATGGCAGTGTGTGCATGGTGCTTCAAGCATGAGCTTTAGAGACAGTTCGTATCTGGGATCTTCCACTCGCCAAGTGGCTTCAGACAAGTTGTTTAACCTTTCTAGGGTTTAGTTTTCTCCCTATTAGATGGGAAAAAAATTATAACTACCTTGTGGGGTTGTACTAAGGATTGAATGGACCAAAGCAAGTAAGGTGCTTAGCATAGTGACAGGTATACAATATACACTAAATGAGTTGGTACTCATTGTTAGGATTAATATTTTATCATTCTTATTAAAGACTCTTCTAAAATAAAAAGTCATTGTGTCAAGTGAAGAATCACTGAGGAGACTTTAGATAAATTGTGTCCCATTGTGACCTGACCTGGGACATTGACAGTGATGGTGGAGACAAGTGAACAGAAGTGGAAGATATTCAGAAGGCATTACCAAGTGGATGGGAAAAGTAAGGAGATGGAAAATCACACTTAGTTCCAATTATCTGTCCCCCAAACAGGAAACAAAAACAACAATTAGTTCTAGTTATCTAATTCTCTGTCCCCCAAACAGGAAACACCAGAAGTGGCTTTGGGTGGAAAGCTTGTTTAAGGGCTATTAGCTCAGGACTCACTGGATATTCCATTTGGTAACTTCGTTAAATGTTTTCGGTTACAAAAATTACTGCCCACTAAGTTTTTTAAATCTAGTTTTGTTTTAAAGGAGGCACAATTGTCAATGTCCTAGTTACTGTTAACTAGACCATCTGTGTAAAGATAGGAACATGAAATAGTTAGTGTGCAAAGTATGATACTCTGAGCCACTATGGTTTCACAAAAATGTCTTTTGAGTTGCTTTTCCCCAGAGTGGTGCTGAGTTAATCTATTCCTTTGTAGCCAAAGCATCATTTTTCAGGTGCTGGGCAGGGCCAGACATCAGGGAGAACTGAGGCTGCCTCTGGTCTGCACAGCATTGAAACAAAACGGTAGCCCTGATAGATTCTCAAGTATTTCATACACCAGCCTGTTGATTAACTTGATTAATTAAGTCACTTGGCTTTGTGTCTGTCTCGCTACTTGAAAAACACTCCTATTAGCTTTTTGTTTAACTCAGAATTATTCAGGTATTATTTATATAAAGTTCACCATTTTTTTTAGTCATACATGAACTCTGATGCCACCGGCTTCACAACATGCAAGGACATGTAGGAACTGCGCTGTGTGCCATCTCTTCCCTGTGACCTCCTCTCCAGAGGGGTTTTTAACCAGGTGGACACCAGAATTACCTCCTGCTGTTCTGAAGTGGTGCATTTCCTATTTCTTTCCTTTAGGGCACCAGGGAAGCCGTGGGGCCTGACACAACGCCTGGCACATTGAGGGGGGCGCTCAGGATGGGTCTGTTGGGATGAACTCTGCACCCTTCTAGAGGAATGCACTAATCCATAACTGTACCAGTAAAACAAAAAACCTCCCCACTGGAAGAGAAAGAAAAGCTTGTAGATTTTTTTTAACCAAAATAAAGAATATGATCATAATCGTGGGTTTCCTGATCCTTTCAGTTTATCTGCAGTGATTCCTCTCCACTACCCAGACCTGTTCCAAAGGAAAGGATCAAATGACTGTTTGATGCATCAAA